TTATGTTAGTGAACATTGGTTTGTCTGTAGTTTGGGGAAATAATGTTATTGCGTGGATAGTTATACTGCTTTGTAGTTATTGCAGATAAAAGCCTTTCAAAGACTCATGGGGCTAAATTATCAATGCACCAATCTATCCAATGAATCAATTGCAGGCAGAAGTTTGGCTCAGAAAATGTTCAGTTGTGAACATTTTTGCAGTATGAGAGAAAGGGCTAATCTACTACATATTCTGAAAAATACATATTTTTATATTTAAATGTCTTGTGGTTTAAATGATACTTTATCTACTGTATGGATCATGATCTGAAGTCGAATAGACGTGTTTCAAAGTTTTCTCAGTTTAACCCTAGAATATTCCAGTGAAGATAATTTTGCACAGCTGCTCAGGTTTTAATCCAAAGTGAGAATTATTAAGAAAGAAATGTTTGTGGTAAAGCCTAAAAAAACCCATTTAATCCACAACAGTTGTGTAATAACAAGGTAACATTTTAAGTATTTCTACTCCCTCCCCTTCTCCCCTCCCTTGTCCTGGTTATTTTTGAATGCAGAAAAAATTCAAGACTTCTACTTAAAGCCACAATAATCCTACACATGGATTTTTAACAGTCTTGAAAAATACCTCATGAATCAAGGAGCCTAGAAAGAGCTCATTTTCCTTGCCACATGGAATAGCGAATGCAAGTGTTTAAAGACTTACTGTGAGGAAAAATAAGAGTGTCAGGAGCTAAGTAGACACATTGAGTATAGGCACAGGCAATGCAATGTGTTGTTCATAGCTGAAAAGCCAAGGTAACAGTAGGCTTTGTGTTCCTTTCAGGGAAAATAAGTAACAAATATTTTAGTGCTGACCTAAAGATTGTTATGAATTTATCACACAGAAGGCTGAAGAAGAGAAAAAAACTAACAAAGATTTCTCCACGGAGGTTCTGTGTCCTGTTGAAGGAAAGTATAGACTTTTTATCTGTAGAAAAGTTTCCTTAGAAAGCTGAAAATGCTCTTTTATAGAAAATTGAACTAAGTTTGAGTAATGATCAAATAGCATAGTAAATTAACTTAACTACATTTTACACCCTCAGAGAGTGTGCTAGGTTGTGATGATCATGGAATATTTAAAACTATAAATTATTATGACAAACTGCTTTTTAGAGCTTATGTGAAAGGTTACAGAAGAAGATTGCTTCAGTCTAAATGAGGCAGGGTCTAACCTCTACTTTAAGATCACCTTGAAGCTGCTATTGGGCATCTTGTACCAGACAGATTTATCAATGTTGTTACAGTGAAATCCTCTTATAGGGAATCATTTCACTACAAGTTGAGTCATTTGGTTATAATTAGCCCTGCCTGCCATAATTAAAATTTACACATAGCAAGACTGAAACAATTCAGAACTGTTTTAGTTTTCTGTATCTGCTTCTTAAGTTGACAGACAATTTCTTTTCCTATTACATTAAAATATGATTTTTCATTCTTGCATAAAATACTGTTTTTGATTATTATACAAATAGTGTAAAATAACAAAATGGGACACATATTCAACTGCACTTTCTTTGCCTTTCATTTAATTATTATTACTCCCAGCTGCAGTGTTGCTTTCTAGTTCCCATTAACATCTATATGTCTAAATATGAGTGAAATTTTGATTAGACTCTGACCATGGTATGCATTTGGTGCCAGTTGTTCCAGCTGCAGGTATTGGGAGATCATGATATTGTGGTGCTGATACAATAGGTTATCAGGGGTCCATCCCTTATTCATAAATAAGTCAATTAGGCTCTGTATATGGAGATACTTCCTTACTATTTTTCTTCAAGATAGATTCCTCAGGTAAAATGGAACAAACACAACTCAGTAGATTTTAATTATCCTCATAATCTTCATTCTTGGTGAATATTACTTAGGGCAAAGAGACACAGACAGGATTTTCTGAAAGGGGAATTGTGCATTAAATAATACAGTTCAAGTTTTCACATAATTAAAAGTACAGGCTGAAGATTATTACATCTAGATTTCAGAAATAGTCATTATTTTAATTTGGAAGAAAAATAAACAAACAAAAAAAGATTTTGATATAGCTGTTTATCAGTAATAGACAAAATGGGGGAAAAAATTGCTTTTATTGTGCCCCAGATGACTCTATGTTACTGGCAAGCGGAAAGTGTCAAGTTAAAGTCCTCAAGGAATACTTGGTGAGGAGTGAGGCATTTGAGTGTTCTCTTGGGAAGTGATGCAACTTATATGCAGGATACTCTAGAACAGCAGTAGTTTTTACAAGCATACAGGGAAATATAGTGGGCAGCATTTGACCTTCAGGTGGTTGTTTGTGGAAGAGTTGAAGAATCTCTGAGAAGACTTTTCATAAGAGTTAGCATGGATGGGAGAAGTTTGCATCTTTGTAGCCTGTACGGTGCACGTATATTGAAGCATAACCAAAACACAGTTCTCAATGTAATTCTATTCCATCCTTCTATTTCAAAATGAAACAAAGCTAAATTTGTTTAAATATGTGGAATTAGTTTTTGTAACAAACCACATAGAATCTGTTTAAAACATTTTAACACTATTGCATTATTTTATGTTTTTTTTTTAACATTTTTATTTGAAATACTATAATAAAAGGTAAAAACAGAAGTAGATTTAACATATAAAAGCTAAATAAAGCATTGATACATTTCTATAGATTTTTATGGCTGCTGAGGTCTTCCATAGCATAGAAGCAAAGAGTATTCACTGTAGTGGAAAAATGACTTACAAACTCAACAGGACTGTGATATTTTTTTTCTTTTCCTATTAATCAGACTTTGTAGATGAAGGAATATGTTGCATAGCATTGAAACAGGACACTGATCAATTAAGCCTTCAAACTGAGACATTTCTACCACGTCAGTGAAAGTGATAGTAGTCCTTTTACGTTTATTAGAAAGAAGTCTGTTTTAAATGTTTCCTCCTCAAAAAAATTACTTAAAAAATAAGTAAGCTTCAATATTCTTTTAAATTGGTTTTAATTTAACTAAAATTTGGTTGTTAAAATCTTGTTTAAATTCTTATTTATCATAGAGAATGTGCATCATTTCTTCCCTCAACTTCACAAAAATATTTATCTCTGTTAAAACCTGCAGCAGTTAGTACCACAAACTAATTCACATAGAAAGTTTCATCACTTAATATACCTTGGTAGTTATTTTATGAGAGTTAAAGGTATTTTTATGTAATTCATAATTTTGAGACTGCATTGCTATATATCAACGTCACACCAGGCATCACATTCCTTATTCCCCTGGGTTTGTTCATATTTTAAAATTACTTCTGTTATGCATGTCAATACCCTGTGTTTCAGCTTTAGTTCATGTGCTGTGTAGCTGCAGAGATTAATTCAAAGTTCAAGGCAAGACGATATAGGCATAGTATGAATGTATGTTTTTTCCATTGAGATGTGTGAATAACCAGATATTCTTTTGGGAAACTTCCAAACGGTCTCTTTCACTAGCAATAATTTCACTAAAAAGAAACAATAAATGTGAGGCTGACGTTCCTTAAGCATACTGAAAACAAAAGAACCTACCCGGGTAATCTCATTGTGCCATACACACACTTAGGTGTGTTTTAATGAAAAACTGCCTTATTTTTAAAGTTTTTTTGGTCTACTTTACTAAACATTTGATATAAATCTGTGGAAGGAAATGCTAAATTAATTGCAAAAAGTTTTTTTTTTTTTATTTAATTCCTTACCAGAAAAAAATGGAAGAAAATTGCTACCCAAGGCATGGGAAATTGCAGTATAGCATCAGATGCTCATTTTGTTTTGAACAGCATAATAAGCCACCAATTTTAAATGTTGACAGGCAGAGCAGGAAAATGTACGCTCTGTAACAGTTTCACTATGTTAACGTTTTCTCTATAAAAATGCAGCAAAAGCAAAGCAACAAACACCAAAACAGTAAGTGCAAAACAGGAAGGGACGAAATAGTGTTTTTCTTTTTAATTTCTTAAAATAAAGTTCCTTTCCCTTTGGACTATCTAGACTGATATGCCCTTTAGTACCTCTTTATAACCTAAAGAAGGTAGTGGGACTGAATACTGTAATAATGTTTATCACAGGTAAAAATAAATAAGGAAAAATGTTTTGTTCATGAAGATCTAATCTCTAAATATATAATCTGGGTCAGTACACAGGAAGCACAAGTCAGTGCAATATGAACAGCTGATAAAAGAAGTAGGAGCCAAATAGACAATTGGTTCTGATTAGCTAAAACATATGCTTCCAAGTGGTGCAATGTAGACAAAATATCTATCTGCAAAATTATGTTGATTCAACTGAGTCCATTTTAAAGTAGCTTAGTTTTAAAGTGCCTAGCTGAAATAAGTGTCAGTAATGTTTTTAACCCTGTGGCTTGAAATTCTGAAGTATGATCTTCCTTTTTTAAGTATTTTTTCTATTTATTGTTCCCACTAGGAAGGTTCATGGTCAGATAAGGCATTTTTTGAACGGACTTGTGTTTTTGTGTAGGAAATTGGGGAAAATGTACAATAGAGAGTGTCAAGAATGATAGCACACTTCACTGTAAGGGAGAGTCGTTTGATTTAGTTGATTACTATACAGCTTTCAGCAGAAATTGTCTCATTGGAAGCAGCTGTTATTTAGGCATTTTTTTTATTAGTTCTTAGTTAAATAGTTGGGCTTAAGGGGCTGTTTATCATGGGAGTGTGGTCTTACCCAGCGGAAGTTTCTTTTCTCTAGGTTATCTAGGCAATATTTGTCAGCAGACACACTAGTAACAGCTGCTTCTGCGTGTGAAATTGTGCCAAAGAATGTAGAATGCCACCACAGAAAACTGTCACTAAACCCATAATTTGCTGAGAAATCCCTCCTAATAGAAATACTGTTTTAAATGGTGATAATTTTCAGGCGTATACGTGTGATACATTATTCCAGTATTCTTGTTATTGTACAGGTATATTACTTTTCTATATGTAGATTAAAAAGGAGTTTTTCCTGTTAGGAATGGAATTCCACTGTGGAAGAACTGGAAGCTGTAGCACTTAAGATCTTGCTTTCAGAGGACTATACAGAAAAAGAACATCTGAAACTTTCAAAACAGAGAATCTGTCTCTTGCGAGAGGAGGTGTGCTTCCGTATGGGAGAGAGGAAGGCCCTGCTACAGGAGGCAAATGACTTTTTTCATTCTGCTGGCAAGGTTGGTAAAAAGGCAACTCTGCAATATTAACCTGCTAGTACAACTGTCAGTGTGCATTTAAAGGCTTATGTGTGTGGGATTATGCAAACAGAGTTTACTAAACAACTTGGAATGGAAAATTACAAGTCTGATTACTCTTCAATATGACTCAAATATCTCCAAAATGACAATTATATTTAATTTATTTTTTTTTAAAAAAAGGATATTAAGAAGAGCACTCAGTTTCCAAAATAAGGTACCTGGGCAATATTATCTGCATAAAGTTGGACCTTTAAGATGACAGGCTCAGTTGTGGTGGCATAACGCTGTATACAGGCTAGTATGGATACCCAAAATGATGTCTATACATGCTGTGCTATACATCCTAGTCCTCTCTGAGGGCTAATTAATAATCAGACATGAGAAAAATCAAGGACAGTATACAGTTCTTCATACTGGGCATGACATTTACTGCATGTTCTAAAGGTGATGTAGTTGAAGTGGCCAGTTAAAAAACTCACAAAACTCCTTTAGGCATAGCATAAATGATTAATTAAGGTCCACACCTACACTGAGGTCTGCAAGCTAATGTGTAGGCAATAATTTCTTTCACTGATGTGCTCACGTGGAGAAGCAGTGATTCAGATTCCACAATTAGATTCTTACAGCCCTCACAGGAGAAGGCTAAGAGGGCCTTACCTGTCTCCTGAATTCTATACATTGCTTGTATTGTGTGGGTTGTTACAAGCAGCCTTGAGTAGGATATCTGTTTAATTTTCTGTTTCTTTCTAATTTTATGTGATGAAAATGGGTAAATCGTTGATGAACAAAGGAAGGAATATTTTAACACTAAACTTTTACTTTTTCAGACATCAAGTCTAGTAATAACTACTTGTATGAAAATTAATTTTAAAACCAACATTGTTAATTTTTGCTACATCTGATTTTTGTATGAAAATTAATTTTAAAAACATCATTGTTAATTTTTGCTACATCTGATTTATAATACTTTTTTGCTTTATGATATAAGGTGTTTATCATACTTGAATACTATGCTTTCAAGAGTTATGTTCAAATGTTTTTACTGATTCTTAACGTGAGCATGAGAAGCATATTTCTGCAGACTTTCTCTTCAAATACCTACTTCAAAATAAAAATATCAGATTTGTTTTCTTCAGTTATCTTCTGAAGCTGTTTTAGACTAGTCATCCTGTAGTCATATGTGGGTTAGATTACTTTTGATATTCTTAGTAGCTCAAGGCCTAGGATATTAAAATTCTTTTTCAAATGCTATAATATTAGAGGGTAATAATTGCAGTTAAAATATATATATAATTAATTTTTAAATTAAACTGATTCAATGGAGAATTTTAATAGGCCTTCTGTAAAGAAATGTAGAACTTATTGTTCAAGTAAAGAAAAAAGATTGAAAGAAGTTTTCTGTATGTGAGTACAATACAGTCAAGGAAATGCATGTAGAGAGGAGTAAAATAATGGAATAACAGGCATAATACAAATTACCTGAGATTCAGCTACATTCAGTCAAGTAGAATTAAAATAGTGAAAGTGTGCACTTAAGTGGAAACAAAATGAGACTTCAGGAATCCAGTGTCTATTCTTTGCTGTAAAATGCTCCCATTTAACTCTGAAATATTTATAGGCTGGTTACTGAAAATGTGTTCACTCATATTCCTTCTGAGCCTTTCTCTTTTGAGACACTAGATTGAATTTGGAATTAGTCTTTCCAAAAATTAAGTGATCCTATGAACAGTTTCCTTTGGTATAAGCAAAATGGTTATAAATCATTTTATAGTGGATGTGTGCCCATATCATTAAAATCAAAACTCAGTTTGGATGCAGATTTGGCCCTAACTTGTATTGTCTTCTAGAAACTCATTGGAGAGGTGGTTAAAAAAAAAAAAAAAAAAAAAAAAAAAAAAAAATTGAGAAGATTTCTCCCGTCTTAGTGCTGTAAAATCTTGAAAACTTCCAATTTCCCCCCAGAATGTTATAATCTTGAAGTGAGAAGAGTATGACACAGTTAATTTAAAAGTTTTCAAACTAAAATCACAGCTAGGCAAATTCACGGGAACGACTGATTGAAGAGATGATTAATAAGGCATTGAGGGAGCTCAATATCATTAGTTCAAATCCATTGATACGTGCCAAGATAACAACAGGTTTCTATGAGAAGGTGAGATAAGGATCAGTCAAGGTGGAAATAGTGTTACAACAGACTTCTGCAAGGTTATATTACTGCTATTTCACTTCGTGATGGTGAACGTGAATAATGCAAAATCTTTCTAGCCACTTCAAGCCAAATCAGAACCAAAACTGTTTTAAGCCTTAAAATGGGAAAACAAGTAGAGAGATTTTATCAATAGATGGGCTTCCAGTGGAGTAGTGAGGATTAATTGCTGGTATTTTTCTTTTTATAATATTTGCTATTTGTGTAAGAGTGGTAGGTAGTGAAGACAGGCAATCTATAAACATCTATATGGACAAGGAAATTTGAATAGCATATGATTTTTGGTTCTAACAGACAACAAAATCCACAAGCAGATGTCAAGCTTTGCCAAATACCAGCTAGTAATAGACCATATTTTTTAAACAGTGAATAAATAATTTAGAGGAAGACTTTATCACAGTTGTATTAGATTTTTCATAACTGTAAAGTGGATTATATTCTTTAGTTAAAACAAAGAGTAATTCAGTAATTTGTTTGGCTTATCACATTATAAAAATAAATTCTGTTATTAAATTCTAGTGTCAATACACAGCAATTTGTTAAAGGAAGTTTGAGTTAGAACAGCAGGATTAAGCAAAGAACCCCTCTATCTCATCAGTCCGTGATGTCAGTACAGAACCTATTCAAGCCTTTTCCAGGTGTGTCCTATCAGATCAGAGAATGATCTTTTAAAAAATGTGTCCTCAATTTTGTTGCCTTGTTTTGGTGCACAAAACTTATCATATGTTAGGTCTTCAGGCAGTGATGCTGACCAACTACCTGTTACACTGCAATTAAAGAAAATAAGGGTTTGTATGCTTTTTGGAAGTACCAACCACTTACACTCTGCTATCTGAAGGAGTCCCACTGACTTTTAAGTGTTTGTTAAGAAGGTGCTATGTCTGAAAATTTTCCACTGAAAAGAATGACCTCAACATTAAAGACCAAACCTAACATGAAATCTCCCTGCTTCCGATATACAGCAAGCTCATTCTTCAAGGGCACATATATCAAGTAGTATTAGGAATGCAATTTTTTTTTCCAAACCTTTCATTTAGAAAAGTTTGTATTTTAAGGTGTCCAAAGACCAAGTAGTCTTTTTGAAAACATATTCTTTGCAGATCATGTGCAGATGCTTTAAAACCAGATCATTTCCAAGGATAGTTCCAACAATAACCTTCATAGGTCCATTAAATGTGCTGAAAAAACATCCTGAATACTTTGCCTGTACTAATTTTTGGTTTGAGCACCAGGTGGGGCTGTAATCATATTTGTTTGTACTATGTTCCTTCATTATTTTTTTAACAATGTGTAAGCAATACTTGCTGACATTATTTATAGACCCTTGAAGTGGCAGATATGTTTTGCTCCAGGAAGTCTGATCCTTCTTGATGTCATTTATAGTGAGGAATCTGAGATAGGCTAATGGAAACTGTGTTTAAGCTGTTGCTGATAGTCAGCCCCCTTCTAGTTTGGACAAGTTTCTACACAGAGAGAGCTATGGCTGTAAGAGCAAGGGCAGAGGGTTTTTTCAGATTACAGGGCTGCGCTTCCTGGAAGCACCTGCTGAAGGAAATACTTGCTCAGGTGTCTCCCCAGCATGCCATTACATCTGTTATAGGTAAGAGTCAGCACAGCACTGTGGCTACTCTAGTTCTAAAAAGAGCGTTTTCACTTGCTCTCAGGGTGTGTCTGAACCTCTGGACTCTATTTACAAGTAAAGGGAAAATGAGCAAAATATATTATTTGTTTTGAACTAACTCAAAGAGATCTTCTAGATCTTGTGTATCTCATTCTCATTTTAATTTTTAATGAATTTGAGAATCAAACCAGAAACGTAGCACTTGTGTTGTTTGTGCTCTCAAGTTCTGGTGTACATTTGGCTGTATTCTGTTGTATGTTTGGCTGCATTAAGCAATAATTTCCTGTGTGTTTGCAAGCTCCTTGGCTCTTTTGGCTCCTTGGCTCTTGTGTAATCATATACATTCCCTGATAAGCTTTCCTTTAAATATTAATCCATTTCTATGTCTATGTAGTGAACTTCAGTTTGACTTTCTGCAGGGAGATCTCCATGTAGCTCTCCTCTGATAATACTTGGGAAATGATTGCTCTGGTATGGCAAAAGCTTGAAAAAGTTCACTTGATTCGGGTTTTTAGTTAACTGTTGAGTATCTTGTACTTTGGTGCATATGTTACTTCAAAATTCACCTCTTGATTTTGAACTCCATGACATCTATACTTCTAACTGTTTCAGATGCTGGGTATTTTTTCCTCCTGTGTGCCATTGCAAAATTTAAAATAATTTGAAATAGTACACATAGTAACTAGCTTTAAAGTGAACATACAGGAGGGACTTAGAGGTGGAGCATGTTCTGCATGGAGCTGTGGGCCCTGGAATACACACCTTTGCATGATCCAGTGAAATTTTTTTTTTGCTTAACCTTCTGGAAGCTCTTTTTTCTTGTAATGGGGTTTTCAGCTTTGTATATGTCAAAAGTCAATGATTTTTGTGGTGATAACATTCAGTATTGGTAAAAATAAATAGATACATAAATGTAAGTCCATATTGCTAAGTAGAAACCTTGCTGAAAAATCTTACTTTCTTTGGATCTTAATAACAGTAAAGCATAAGGAGCTACAAAGAGGCACAAGATTTTGAAAGCAAGACAACTCTGCAGAGCCAGATGACAGTAGCAAGGCAGAGGATTTATAGAGAAATTATATCCTTTATTTCCTTGAAGACATTCTTTAAAATAAACCTAAAGGAAAATAAATAAATTCAAGTGGGAAAAAAAACACAACAAAATTCACCATTCTTTTTTTTTTTTTTTTTTTTTTATATGAATGCAACCACAACACTGATTGGCATTATATAGATTATAATTATATATAGACTGGGAAAAGTGTATTGCATGAGTTTTGTTGCTTTCAAAAAAAATATCTAGAATGGATCCCAATCATGAAGAATAGTCAAAGTAAACATTAACAAGGAAATTTAGAGAGAAATATGAAGATCCTATTTGAATGATATTTAGATTTATTACAAAGTGGGTTTTTGGTAGTAGGCAATGCTCAAAATGGCTCAGGAAAGAGGGATATTATTTCTACTCATAGGAGTTATGCCCATGTTATCTTCAGAGTGTTGGATTTAGTTTTAATTAAAGCTTGTAAGGTTTTGCTAGCATAACTATTGTTTTTCCCTACTAATTTTCCACGCTGAAAGAAAAAAAAAAAAAACAAAAACAAACCAACAAACAACCTGTCATTAATGTTAAGCATTTAGATCACCAACTAGAACCCTCCTTCATCTTTAACTTATGAAGATATAAGTTGCAAAGCGTTTTCACTTTATCAGCTGATAGATCAATTGATACAATTTTCAAGACAAGTATCATTCAATTTACTGGTACTACAGTTGCATATAGACGTGATGCTTTCCTCCTCATGTTCTGCTGTCTATGCCATAATGATTCAGGATATGGTTTAGTGGTCATGGTGGTTGTTGGTTGCACTTGATGATCTTAGAGGTCTTTTCCAACCTTAATGATTCTATGATTCTAATATGCTCGTGCTATTAAAAAAATAAAAAAAAAAAATAAAAAAAATCCCACAACAGAGATATACACATACGCTAATTCTGGAGAAGAGTTTGAGACAGAAGTAATCTATCCAGTCTAGCCAGTAAAAGCTGGCTTCTGTGGATTGTTTAATGTTGATTTGCTTGAGCTCCTGAAAGCCTAAATTGAGGGTCTCATATCACTGTTCTGAGAAGAATAGGAAGGGTATAGAACTACTAATGACTGCAGTGGCTGCTATGGAAAAAGTCAATGCAGATAATATCTTGCTGTAACCAGGCTTCCTACTTGCAACTGAAATTGAACATATGAAATCATAAATCTTTGCTCGTGGTAGCAGCCTCAGTTGATCAAATACCAACAGCACTGAGAATGCAGGCAATGCAACCCAATAAGGTTGCCTGTCATCCTTGAAGGTGCAGATTGATGAACACACAAGGTATTCAGCTATGTTTAGAAAGAAACGCTGGAGAGAACACCTGATTTTATAATTTTTTTTTTTTCCCATCCTGTTTCTCTTCTAAATAGTCTCTTGTCTAGTTGTCATTCTGCTCACGTTACTCTTTAATAAATGTAACAATGGCAATAATATATACTTTTTCGGTTTATTAATTTTAAAGTTCCATATAGCTTTATAGCAAGACTCCAAACATGTTCTTACGTTTGCTGCTTACCTAGTTAAATATGCTAACTAGTAATACTTCTAATAAGAGTGTCTGAGTGGTTAACGCCTTCTGAAATGCCTATAAATCCATAACTATCCTTGAACAATATAACTTTCGTATAACTCTTTAATATTCTTAAAGTCCTGAAGACTGAAGTATTTAATAAATACACTTAGTTCCTCAGTTCAGGTGAATGGCCGCTATTTACAGGAAATTCTTTGAGATTCGCATAGATCCATGAATCTATGACTTTCCAAAGATGATTGTTATTCCTGTCCTGATCTGAAGTTTATGGCCTTTTTATACTTGGTGATGACTAAAAGATTTCATGCTTTAGTAAAAGTCCTTCTGTGATACATTCAGTTACACTGTCTCTCTGATGGACTCTTCTTGGGTTTAGAAGCTTTTCTTTATCTTGTGAGGATTTTTTTTTTTTTTTTTTTTTTAATACTGAATCCTTTATTCTGCAAGGAAAAATAACCTGGCAGAGACAATAAAATACTGCACATGTCCCGTTCTAATCCACTGCGTATGGAAGTTGAATTACTGTTGCTCATCCTCTTTTCTTTATTTTCCTTCTTTTTTTTCCCCATAGATTTCATTGGTTTGAGAGTGTTCAGGCACTTGCTATAATCCTTGCTATTTTGAGTCAGCAACACAGAGTTAATTCGCAGCTGCTGAGTTCTTGGTTCATATGTAATATGCTGTAGCAAGCTGGATTGTACTGCCCCCTGAGACTCTCACGGAATATTCACTTTTCAGCTTTTTATGAATGTAGAAACTTGCAAAAGTCTGTAGCATCTAATTTAGTTTGCTGCAAAATTCTTTTGCTCTTCTGATATAGTAATTTTAAAGCTGACATAATGAAGGAGAATATTTTAGTATGCATATAGTTTTGTTGTCTCTTGGAATTCTTCCCAGTGCTGAATTGAGGCTTCCAGAACAATGTATTTGCAGGCTGTAAGCCTACAAAATTATTCACTGAACTGAATTTTAGAGTGTATATAGAGATTTGCAAAGTCAGAAGACAAGTTTGATTGGTATACAAAGTTGATTTCCTTTTAAAAATGCATATACAGAGTAGTCTATGTTATAGCCATTCTATTTTAAATTTGTTACATAAATGAATACATTCAGTGAGAAATGAATGCTATTAGACATGTACTGTTTTGTTTTATCTAGAGTTCACATTTTTCTGGTGTTTAGAGCAACACTAGTATTAGTACTTATTATCTTAAATAATGGAAGACAGCAATGTTGTCCTTACTCTGTCTAAAAAGAGAAGATTCTTTTTAGTGTTATTTTTGTCATTTTATTTCTAGTGTTTTAATGAGAAAATTTTGCTTGCACTAAAGGAAAACAGAATACATCTGACAAAGTCAAAGCTGCATATGTGCAAAATCAAAGCCTATCTTTTAAATTTTAAAAAAATATAATTTACTTGTTGGATATACATTTGCTATATTTAAAAAATTAAAAAGAAGAATAATTTTGGTAAAACGTTGTAAGAGTGCATTTCAGTAAAACTTTAAGTGCTAATGCACAGTATTACTCTTGTTATTCTGGTTTTGCTTCAGTATGTCAAATTGGCCTGACTACTTCTGAAAAAATTAAATAGTTCTAAATTAAAAGAATAACCATGATTTTGCCCATATTTGTGTTACCTTTTGTTGAATTCTACCTGTGTTCTTCTGTGACCTGCAAAGTCAACATCAGGCCCTAAATTAAAATGTTGCTATTCATCTCTAAAGAAATGTCAAGTAATAAATGCCTATTGATCACCTATTTACATAAATATGCACATTTTAAATAGAAACATTGACAACAGATTTATTGTTTTCTTGCTTGTTTTACAGGTGCTTGATGGTTTTGAAGGTATTGAGAATTACCTTAAAATCTTTCATTCAGAAGGCTTACCTTTACCTACCTTGACAGTGAAGTATGCAGAATTACAGGAAGCAACTAAAAGCTGCACAGCAACTACCTTGCAGAAGGGACAAACTTTACTTAATAAAGCAGGTTCTCACAGGTATTCCCTCCATTTTTTTTTTTATTTTGCACATCTGCTCCATTTCTCAATGTTGCTTTATAACTCAGGTAGTTAGGGTCAGATTGATTATAGACCCAGTGTAGCTGACTGAACTGTGCATTTAAATGACCTGCAGCTCGTTTTCTGCCATGTGTATCTGCTGGTATTCACAAAAACCAGTATCTTTAACAAAAATCTTGCCTCTTTCAAAAGTGGTGAGAAACAGTGGAATGGGTATGTTAGGGCAGTGTTCAGAAACAATGGTTTAGTTAACATTTTGGAAAAGTAAATGTATGTAAATGAAAATTAGAATAGTAATGGCTATGAACACTCCCTGCTGCCTAAAGTAATCCTTCTAGGCCTTTTTGAAAGTTACCATTGTAGCAATGATAATGTATTTTGATGCAAGACAAAAATATAGGTGTTAAGCCAAGTGCAGAAGTTATGGAAGTTTCTCCACTTCCTATTAATTCTAATTAATGAATGAATAACTTCTTTTTTCTTACAAAGCTTTTTTTAATTACGGTGATAATGTACTCCACAGATATGTCTTTCACACCGATGTAGAGCATGACTTAGGTTAAAATAGTCCTAGTGGCTTAATACATCTCACCCCTTAGGTCTTAGTAGGAGGCTGGTGTGATATGAATGAAGATGGTTTATACTAATGGGTTGTACTGCAGAGACAGAGCAGATGACCATGGCTGATGATTGGCTAGTGGTCAGCTTAGCTCTGCCTTCTCATTACATGCTTATGTCACATTTCTCTTGGACTTAGAATTCTTCAACACAGCAACTGAAAGTCTAGGTACGTTTTTCATTTAGTGTCATGACCTCGCAAAAAAAATTTATTTAAAGTGCCTTCACCTGTCACCCCAGATGTAATTCACTTGAATCTAGCAAAGGGATGAAATAGAAAATTCTGCTAGAAAGTAGTTTTGGGAACATGTGCAGCTTGACTTTATGGCTGTTGGTACTGCTTCAGCATCTTCTGATATTTTAAATAAACAGAAAGGAAAGGGATTTTCCTCAGTGAAATGTTGACTTTAATTCCTAAATCAGCCATAATTACAGAATGTATGCCACTGTTCTCTAGGACTTGATGTTCTGCCAGACATTACCTCAGTAGAAGCAGATGTTGTGTTTCAAATTGTCTGCACATCCTTGATTAATGTTAGGAATGTTAAAATGCTAGAACAAATCCCTAAAATAATAAGTCATTAATTTTCTTGCTTCCTTATTAAGAGTATTTTTAAAACATTTAAACAGTCCAAATCAGCAGCGGGATGGTAAGATACCATCAGTACACATCAAGAAGAATGAAATGAATTTGTCAAAATAAGCCCGTCAGTCATTTCTTGTAAAATTCGGTAAAAACAGATAATGCCACAGGCAGATCTCCTGTGTGCCAAAGTGTTGCTGAAGATACTCTATAAACAAATAAGGAAGGTAAGGCATCTGCCTAGAAGACATTATAATTTTTAAAATGTCAAAGTATTAGAGCTGAAGCAGCAATGATATAGAGAAGGAAAGTAAAACTTAAAACTGTATCAATAGGCAATCTCCCTAGAAATGTGTTTTGCTGTTTCTAAGGAACAGTGAAAAGTCCCAGGCTCTCAAGTATTTTAAATATCTACTTGTACCATAAAAATAAGCCACTTTCTAAGAAAGCAAACACAGAATATTATGGCTTTTCATTTCTACCCTGCTGCTTTCAGGCCTCAGTGGCTGAATATAACAAATTTGCCATATGTTCAATGAGTAGTGCTGGTACTTCTGTGCAGGTGGAACACATTGTAAACCTGAAGCCCCTGCCTAGGAATGTAATAATGGGACAATATAAGCTGTCAGGGAACTCTGGAGGTCATCTGGCAAAATCCCTTGCTCAAATCCTGTCAGTTAGACTAGGTTATTCAGGGCCAAATTTTGAATATCTCCAAGGATGGCGATTCCATAACCTCTCTGGGAAACCTGGTCTAGTGCTTAAGCATTCTCTTGTGAAACCTGTTTTTCTTATGTCTAGCCAAAAATTCTGTTTCTGCAACTTGTGAGCATTGGCTCTTGCACTTTTGCTGTACACCTCTGAAAAGATTCTGGTCCTGTCTTTTGTATAACCTCCCTTTCTCATAGATAATGGAAGACAATAATTAGATCACCTCTTTTCCTCTTCTCTGCTCTGAACAGAGTTCTGTTAGCACCCCCTTGTACCTCATGTGCTCCAACTTCCAACTGTCTTGGTTGCCTCTGCTCAATTCACTTCAGTTTGTCAGTCTGTCTTGTACTGTGGGGACCCAAACTGGACAAATCGGTTTCCAGATGCACAAGTCCTTAACAGAGGGGAGTAACCTGCTGATTAGTCTCTTCCAGATGCAACTCAGCATGGGGCTAGTCTTCAATACCACGAGGATCATCCTGACTCACGTTCAACTTTCTGTACACCAAGACAAGTCTAGAGGTTTTTGCCTTATCTATGGTTTTAGGAGACACCCAGAATGCTCCCCACCAACTCATAAGCCTACTAATGGTGACACCGGGAGTTCTGTTAGCAAATGTGGTAAAATGTTGTATTCCAGAATATTAACATTTTCAGGGGAAATTAGTGTTTTGAAAGAGTAAAGAGGAAGACCTCTCTTTGTCATGTATAAACTACTGTGCTGTCTTAAATGATGTCCAGTATTTAGTGCAGTGATTAACCTACATGGGACAAAAAGATTTGTATGAACAACTGAGGGTCAAAGCAGGAACTTTTGGACATAAAGCAGAATTCCTATCAAGATTAAATCCTGATTAGTATATTGTTCCCTTTATTGCACAGTTTGTTTCTAGTCTTAACTGGTCTCACAGACTTCCCATTTCCTTTATTTAACTGGACTTGAAACCCTGTGGGTCATGGACCATTTGAAGACAGTAAAGACTGTGGATCTGAAAAAGTTTAGGTAACTTTTCAAAAAGCTGCTTTGCCATAAATCAGACAGGAAGGTATAATCTGACAATGAGATCCATAGCTGTTGAATGTTTGCAAGCTGGTAGGATTCTTGAACTAGCTGGCAGCAGGCAGTAATTTGTGCAGAATTTGAAAATAGCATCTAGCTCCCTGAAGAAGTAGTTTGAGCTCAGTAATTTTAGAACTCCTTCATCATTCATGATAGAGAAGGTACTGCTTGCTCTGCTACTTGCATGATTTTACTAATTTTAAAAAAGAACCTGAGTTCTCCATGCTTTCAAATAATGTTTTTGTTAATAAAGAGAAGGAATCATCTGACTTTGCTCAGGTTGGCTGACACTTGGTTGATTGTGATGAGATGATGCCCTGAATAAAGGGTACTGGAAAATTCATTTTTAGTGCCCTATCAAAGTGGCTGCCATGTGTACTACCAGTATAAATGCACTGAGAGAAGACAAAGTATTTAAACACTAAGAGGATTAAAAAGTTGATGTTCTGTAGCCACATTTTTTTGTTATTTTCATGTTTAGAGTACAGAAAAGTAAGCCAGGCAGTTCATATGTGTATGGTAAGACAACTCTAGTAGTTTGATTTACAAAACTAGTACTGATATCCTCACATTGAGGGAGGATCATGTTTAAGGCTAGTGACACCAACTTCAGTGGCATAGTTGGAAATGCAGCCTGCAATAAAAATGGAGGAATATGAAGTTAATTCTGTCCTACTTTCAAATCTTCTTGAAGCCTGTTGCAGCGTTATACTAAATTTCTAGAATGTATGTGAAATTCTATTTTCAGGTACTGTAAAAACACTGAGATATTTGAAAGTCCAAAGAAAACTTTTTTCTTTTTTTAAGCAGAAGTGCTATGCCATATATTTTCACTGTTCTGAAGCTGTTCCATTTGTGATTTTACTCTAGGTAGTGTAACAAAAGTCAGAATTATTTGTAAGACCACGTGCTTCTCAGTGAACCAAATTGACTGGCACGTGAATCTAACTTACGGACTGGTGATAAATGATTTCTTTGGAAATGCTATTCCTGTGTTCTACTCATTATCAATTTTGTTTGCAATCATTTTAATTTTTCTTTTGGTTATTTTTCATTTGAGGGTCACAGTTTAAAATTCTTAAGTTAATTGTCATACAATTCAACAGAAAATGTTCGGTCTTTTTTTTAATCATTAGCATCCTGATTGTTGAGCAAAAATGAGAAATGACAGTCCTACTTCTCCACTTTAGGTCTTGGGTGACAGGAATTCAGAAAATGATGGACTATGTTCAAGAGAAGGTAGACCAATTAACCAGGCAATGTCCAGACTATGAGGAACTTACTTTGAAGAAACAACAATGGACTGCCTTGCTTGAAGATCATCTAAATAAGGTACATAATATCACATCATCTTCTTAACAATAATAATTCATAAGCAGTGCCTTGCACTTCAATAAGGTAGCTATGTGAGTTAAAATTGACCCAAGTAATTGAAAATTACACATTGGTTTGTTAGTTGTAGTTAGAATGCTGAATAATGTTTTCAGCACAAATGAACCTAAAGCTCTTCTGAAAAATGCAGCTTTTTCCATGAGAACATTTTACCAGTGATTTTCAATAAAATATGGATTTGTTTAGATACTGATAATTTGTTCTTTCGGAAAAGAAGTGAGATATTAGGACTGTGACCTGTATGTGGTTTTCTGGTACTGTTTCTATGTCTTCTGTTTCATTTGACTAAAGATGAAAATAGAACTGTGGCAAAATTGAGCTTAGTAAGCATGGTGACTGTGAACTACAGCAAATTTTCAGTAAGGCTGAAGAAGAGCGAATTTGGTTCATTATAAAAATTCCCTTTGTTCATTGATGTGTTGATGTTTCTGTGACATCACAGCCTTCTTTAACCTCTTGAATGTTCTGTAGCACTACAGAGACGTTTAATGACTAGTCAAGATGGAATAGGCATGTGACTCCTAAGCATAGTTCCACATGTAGAATCAAAATAAAAAATATAATCTTTTAACAAGGTTTATATGAAGGAAATCTCAGACCATAGGCAAAAAAAGGGTAATTCAAATTTACTGACTGAATAATTAAATCACCAATCTGATATTTTGTAATTTTTACCTGATGTTTATGATGAATTATTATGAATCAAATGGGAAGTTAATTTGCCATAAATTTGTCACTCTGCATACAATATATGTAGAAAAGACCTCATGGTATTAGAACACAGTGAAAATACTGTGGACCTGAAAATAAAAAACTTGCTGATAGCTGCTCTTGGTCTTGTAGAAATTATGCCACCAGCATATTGTGAATCTTAAGCTAAAACTTAATAACAAAGGCAATTTTAACCCAAAGTGTAGATCCCAATTTGACGTACAGTTTCATGCTGCAGTTTCTTTTAATCACTTTTTTCCAAGTCTTGCATTAAAGAATATTTTTAAGATTTGAGTCATATACGTGATCTTTCCTTGCAGTAAATGCTGCTTATTTTTATATTGCTACCAAGCAAAACACTTTTCGTTCCAATTTTCTGCTAATGCAAAGTAACCCAAAGAATCTGGTGTTAAATTCAACTGCCCCTGAGCTTCCTTTAATAAAGTTTGGGCCTCAGTCAGCAGCTTTCTTAAAAGATATGGTACATGTGAATTCACATGTCTAATAATAACTACACATACTGTGTCTGGCATCATCTGCTTTTGCTCTTCATAATCTGCTTTGTTATTATGCACATATAACATTTTACAGTGACAATGAAATAGAGTTGTGTTCATGTACTTGCACAAAAATAGCTTTCTTGGCTTGATAGAGAAAGCATTTCTGCCTAGGTTATAACACCTAGATTATAATACAGTGGTGCTATATTGGAATAACAAGACTGGAATAGTTGGCATAAAGGAAAGCACTGCCAACAAAATGAGAGAAAACACGTTTTCTTCAAATTCTGACCATAGCTGTTACAAGAAATGGTAGTTTTCTGCCTTTATATTTTCATTCCTGAGTTTCTCTGATTATACAAAGTGCATAACCTAAACACCAATAGACAAGTGTTACTTCTTTTCTTTTTTTCTATGTAAAGTGATGGTTTATGCTAACTATTTGTATAAATTAACTATATAAACAATGCTTTCAAAAAAGGTATCGCAGTCGATTGAAAAAATCTCCCTGGTGCTTGCAGTTGGAATGGAGCCTGGTTCATATTTGTTTGAGTCGGAAAGAGTTTTGAATGAGCACCTTGAACTAGCTAAAAAAACAAAGGTAATAAACAAAAGAAGTTTTCATAATGTTAAATGCTTTTTAGAAACAAAAGCATGCTGTATGTAATTCTTAATAAGGTGTGAGGCTGAGAATTTGTGTTCTTGGAAAGAAAACAGGTCTATAGGTTGGTTTAAACCTGTAGTTAATGAACAAAATCACAGATAACAATACAAGTCAGTCCAGAAGAAAGTAGTTCCCAGCTGGAGAAACTGTGAAGGGGGATGTAAAGTTGCCATCAGATATGTTGTGAATGCCACCATGGTGTGAAAGCACTGCAGCATTCTGCTCTGTAACACAGATTGAAGGTATTTTTAAGTTACATCTGAGACTTTTCCAGCTCCTGAAGCAGTATTGCAGTATCTGAAAGTGGCTTAAAACTGTCTGAATCCTCTCCATGGTCTTCACACTGGTGCATATTTCATGGCTAAGTTGAAAAACAAGGAACAAAATGCACTTTAAAGACATTCTGGAGAGCAAATATAAAAGTTCAGCAGATGCACAAGAGCCCTTTTTTATTCCATAAAACAGTATGATAGATTTTAGTGTCTTTTCTGCAAATTTTTGTATGTTAGGGTGCCACCTTTGTTAGTTGCGGTGTACAATCTGCCTTGACACAATAGTAACCTCTCCTCCCTTTCTTTCTGTGCATTGTGATGTTGTAGAGTTTGTGTTCATAGCTGAATGGCAGAGGTAGATAAGTTAAGTGGCATTTATATATTTAAATATATAAAAGTCAATAAGCACATAGATATCAATATATGAAGCTGTGAGTTAAAACAGTGTATCTGAAAATCAGAATCTCAGCTGATTCACAGAAAATGTTAACTCAGCTCTGGCTCACACAGCATGCTGTGACTTTCTTCTGAGTCTGAGCAGTTGATGCAGTAACAGATACAACTCACTGTTCAATTTCCATCTGATATTTGCAGATTCCCTGCATGCAAGAACATTGGCTGGAATTTGGGGTAATCCAGGTTGATGGGACTAGTCTGGATCTAGGAAGCAATAACTGATTCAAGAATAAAAGCATGAGATAAATTAAGAATCATAAGGCAAAGTGCTACAAATGCAGGCCTTAAAATGTTCAGCAGCTGCCTTATGAGGACCCAGTGCTTCTGGACTCTCACTCTAGAGCAGATACCAAGTAATTCTATGACAATTGAGTTTCAGAAGGGATTTAGACTCAAGAGAATCAGCTCAGAAAATTGGGCTATACTGTTTATTAAAGGAAGTATATCATTTGTGGCTCTCGATGTTCCCGTATAGAATGCTTCTGTTTTTTTCATTCTTAAACTGTGGTTTACTTAATCTGAATACTGTGATTCATGTGTTGTTGTTTTTTTTTTTTCCTATTCAGAACTGCTATTTTAGTAAGTAGATCCATAGTTTTGAGGAAAGAATAAGTTATTTTCAGCATATAATGTACATTGAGTACTTCTTGAACTAAGCAATTGACTTATACATAAGAAAACTGTATCAGTGCAAATTAACAACACATATTGTTCTATGCTTGTACCCTCAAAGGAAATTTCACATGAACTGGAAGCTGCTGCGAGAATCATCAAAGATATGGAACAGCTTGAACCTGAGCAGGTGGCAGCTTTTTCTAGCAGAACACACTTCCTGAATGAAGAACTGAAAAAAATTGAAAAAAATATTAGTTCGAAACTAGAAATTCTGGAAACCTATGTGGCCTTTTTGAAGTCAGCTATGGAGGTACAGATAACTTATTTTCTGACTAGACTGTAAAAATCTTACAAGTGAAAAATGTACTTTTAGCCAGATAAACAAATCTTGTAGATGCTGTGCCATGGAAACACCGTAAGCCTTTATAACCTCCTTCCTACTTTAAAGGAGATCTGTTCCAACAGGGCAAGCATCAGCATCATGACAAGTCTATGTCAAGGTTTTCTACTGATTTAAATGACCATGGTAGGAAGTATTGTAATTGAATTTTTACTTTTTTGTCCTGTATAAGTGTGCTTTCTCATTATACACATAATAAAAATGCTTATGTGTATGTAGTCTGACTCTTAAATGTACTGATTTTTCTTTATAGAATTGTAAAAATATTTCACATAATACATTGATATTGATATTTATTATATTATGATCTTTTTATATAGATAATCTATTGCAGTTCTGCACTAGTTCAAGTGTTAGTTCATCTGAAGGGGTTTTAAAATTAAATATAAACCAGCTCAGCCTGAAATCATAACCAGTTCAATGCCAACATAATTTTGGTAGCTGTGCTAATGATGCTCAGGGCAGTTAATTTTCATATTTATGTAATGCTTACTTTAATATTCTACAGCATGTTTGTTCTTTTCTATTTAGAAAAAGTTAAGGAGAGAATGGGACCTGTCACATAAAATTAGCCATAAGATTTATTTATTTGAAGATAAACTGTCAAAAACTTGGGTTTCGTCTACTTCCAATTATTGCTAACTTCAGTTACTTCACACTAAACAGATCTGTGAAAATAATTGCATTGATACATAGGTGTATAATATCCATGTAATGATATGTGACAGTAGTTTAGCAAAATACTGGCACTTGTCCACTTCACATCTACTGTTTAACAGGGTATTACATTTTTTTTGATTATTATTTATTTACTATATGTATAGGTTTTAGGGAGGATGATAGATCTTTAACCCTGGAAATGATACAGAGGCTGATATTCAATTTTATAATGTCTGTATAACTTTTGATTGTAGCAGCTTAATTTTTGTTTATTTTTTATATTTATGTCCATCTGTAGGTGAATGATGAAATTAAAAACCTGAAGGAATTCTATAAATTAGAACCACTGCAAAAAAACAAGGAAGCTGAAAAAATTCCAGTGGAGTCAGCTAATACTCAATGGCAAAAGGTTATAAAGAAGATTTTTTCCACCCAAAATATGGGTTGCAATTTTCTTAATTTAGTAAGTATGGTGAGTATAATCTGATAAACCATAATGAATATTTTGTTTATCTGTGATTAGGCCTAATCTTACTACTGTGACTGACAAGACTAGAATTTCTCCAGTAAGTACTTTTCAAGAAACTAGCATTGTTATATACTTTCAAAATATGAAAGTATTATTAAAGGGCTAGTGGCATAATACAAAAAAAAAAATCTTATTAATAATGACAATAAGAGGAAATCTTTACTAATTGAGTGTATAAAGTTTTTTTCTAAAGAAATGGGTGCTAGACCTACTTCCTTACGGATAATCTTTTGTGGTGTTTGTACACTCTGCCTTGGGTTCAGTTGCACTGCCTAGGCATCCCTATCTAATTTTCCAGCAACCCTTCATGAGATAATAATTTGAGATGTGCAATCATTCTCTAAGCCACCACTCCTAAAATTATCCCAATTAATGAAGACAGTCTGGATAGCCAGTTTCTCTTTCTGTTTTTACAGGGCAAACTAGAGAGCAGTTACATTAGGATGAGAAGGTGGAGCTGGTGTTGATAACATACAGCAAGATGAGCTGGAAAACCTATTTAAGAAGGGAAAGTGCTGAGGCAGTTATGCGAGCTAAAGTGTCTGCTGGTACAGCTGGCTGCAGACAGGCACAGATAAGATAGTATAAAAGCAAGCTGAATACATGTGAATGTGAGGTTGCACAGCAGTCATTGAAAGTCTTAACCTATCTTCAGATATTATCTCTCTAAAGACCTGGAAGTATGTTGCCACCGTATTTTCTGCTCCTCTGTTCCTATGATATTCTTAGGTTGTAACTTTTAAGTATCTGGAAGATATGGATCATATAAGTAATTTATAAATGCAAGTTTTCTTAAAAGAAAAATTCTGAAATGAGAAAAGCAGAAGAAACACTACTCAGTTTTCTGGTATTTTTGATATGGGCTCTGTTAAAAAGAGGAAAACCAGCAAATGTTCAAATGCTAAAAACTTCATCCCTCCTGTGCTTCAGTGCTACTTTGGTTATCAGCACAAAGGAGTGGTCTTTGATTCAGCCATTTCCTTTTCCAGTTGTTTTTCCCTAGAAGGCCATTGTAGCTAGTTCTGTCTATTCTGAAATTTCTTTTTTTATTAGTGTTAATTCACCACCAGATGGCATTAGTTCAATTCCTGACCTGTTCCAGGTTTTAAACTTGAACTCTAGCCATATCCTCAGTAAACAAATTCTGTTGATCTCTGCCTGTTTCTAAAAGAACGGTGTGTTTAAAAATGCCTAGAGTACTATACATTTTCAAAGTAGTTATGCTAGAAAAGTTGTGTGTATTAAGCTTTGTTGAGACTTTAATATTACAGGGTTTTAATTATATTTTATAAAAATGTAGGTGGAAAAAAAGGGTGTCTGTTTATTTGACAGGTAAATGAGAGTTTAATATCAAAAGTGGAAAAATTTGTTCGAGTAACAGAAGATACCATTGTTAATCTGAGTAAAGAAAAGAAAGACCTGACTGACCTTTGGGCAATCTGGAATTTTAAAATTACTCAAGTAATGCCGGTCAAGCAACAGTGCCAGATATTTAAAGAACAACTGAAAATTGTAAGTAAGTAAAGTAACTAAGAAGAAAGCAACTGTGGCAAATATTTCTAGATTATGATGTTTGTCTATGACTGTCATCATCTATTATAGGTATACGCTTAAGTTCAGATAGTCATCAAGAAACATTAAATGTGGGTTTTTTGCCTTCTTTAAGCACATACAAGTCTAAGTTCCCACTTCAAATTGTCAGTTTTATTCAAGTCCATATAGAATGCCAGCAGTGCTTCAGGGTTTGTTGTTTTGTTTATAAAAGAGCACCATTTTGACCTGACTTCATAGTTATTAAACTGAACTGTGTCCTGAGAGTTACTGAACTCAAGTTCAGCCATGTTCATAAGGAAGGAGTATTGAAACCTCATGGGCACAGGGACCATGTGCAGTGTTCCTTAAATGCAACACTAGCTAAACTAGAAGCAGAACCAGAGGTTTGTAGCCACTGTTTGTCTAGTGCAACTTATCACTAAATCATGATAACTTTTATCACAGGAAATGCACTGTCTTCTGATGGGAGTCTTCCAATCTCGGAGTCTAAACTGTTTTTGTATGCTATCTTAAAGAATTCCTATCACCCTTGTCAAACAGAAGGTTTGAGATAAAGAGGTTTCACTGACAGCATTTGAGTGTTTGGTTTGGGGAAGGTTCTTGTTACAAATTTAGATTTGAGTTTAAATTTCATTTATTTTTACATTTACTACAGATAAAAACACAATTGTTTAATTTTCTTTTAGACTACACATGGATTAGAGATTCTTCAGGAGGCTCTCCAGCTTGCAGCAACAGTTGACCTTGGAAGTGACCTTTTAATTGTTTTGGAACTGCAAAGGAAGCTTAACCAAATGAAACCACAGTATCAGGTGAGAAATCAAGCTAGTGAGGTGCATGGTGGATCAAATAATCTCTTTTGGGTACAGTAAAGATTCACACTGAACCCAGACAGAGTGTCGGGGTTGCAGTGTTCTGTATTTTACATTACTTTTCCAAAGAAAGTGTTTGTGTCTGTGTATATGGTAAGGGAGAATACATTTTGCCTTCAGAATGTCTTGCGCAGTGTTAGGTGCATATTAAAGTAACACACAAGCGTTGAAGTACAAGGCTTCACACTTTTGGGTTAGAGCTACTCAGAGGCTGAGACATGTCATATGGAGCTTTGTACCTCATCTGATTACTGCCGCTGAGTTTTAGCAATTCAGTTTGCCATTCCCCTACAAGTCAGTTTGACTTGTTTTGATCCAAGGCTGCTTCTGAGTGGTAGCCATGATTCATGCCTAGCAAAAAGCAAAGTATGTGTAAAGTGTTTTAAAAGGAATGACGCTGTTTTTTTTCCCCAAGGCAATTTGCCATAGTTAGGTGGTTATTTCATCAAATGTAAAGGAAAACTTACAGATATATTTGTGTAATTTAAGTAACTTCTGCTCCTCTGCTAGCAACTGAATGCTGAACTTGAGTACCTGATGAAATTATCAGAACTGCCAAGTCAGAAAGGATTTCCTGAGAAAGAGAACTCTGAGGGAATAACTGAGCTTATTAATTTCCATCAAACGATAAAGGACACAATGACAAAATATGATGAGATTTTCAACAAGACAGTCAAATTCCATCGCACTAAAAAAGAAGTAAGTATAATCTTTTAAAATATATTTTCTTCATTTAAAATCTTTTTTGTTTAGATGTCTCTCTTTTTTTTTTTTTTTTTTTTTTTTTCCCAGACAAAACCTAACTGGTGACTGGAAATAAAACTTTACATCTAAAACTGCATGAAATTTGCAGAATTTAAAATTCAGAAATTCAGATCTGAACCCAAATTTATTTCCTTGAACTGACATCAACAAAGTTTAGGGTAACACATTATGGATAAGGAAGGAATTCTAAGCTTCCTTTCAAAAGATTTTAAACACACGCTGATTTTCACTTTAATGTATTCCAGCTGGAATGTCTATTCAAATCAGGAGAGCTGGATATTCCTGAAATACGTGAGAACCCTGAAAGCATGCCCCATGCCGAAGCCTACCTTGTGAATGCTCAAGAGAAACATGCACATATCAGACAGCTATATAAACTGCTTATTTTCCAGGCAGTGGATGTCTTGTCTGCAGTCCAGCAACCCGTGAGTAGAATTAGAATGATGTGTGAAATCCAGGATAAATATGAAAGAAATTTTGAGATGAATGACTTTTAGTCGTACAAAAATGTATTAGTATTCTGAAAAAAATACTGAGCTTTAAGGTCCTTTTAAAAGAAAACAAAACATCAAATATAAAACAACTGATAATTTTTAGATTTCTACTTTTAGAGTTTGCAGATATACAGCCATTAAATTAAATTAAATTAAACATTGAGGACTGATGAAATTTATTCTTCCATAGTTATATTACAAATTGCTTTTGCTGAGAGAAAAGAAAAATTGCTTTCTTTGAAATCTTGTTTTAATTTTGTAATGGTCTGTGAATAGATTTTACTCTGAAAACATTGAGATAGATTTGAAATAGGGAAGAAATTTAGCCTACAGTATCAGTGCTTGGAAAAACAAGTGTGGTTTTATTTTCTCTAGTATTTTTGCAGTTCAAGTCCTGCTGATGATTTTGTGAATGCCACATCAACATTAGACATCTACTACTTTGTAAAGGTTGCTTTGTATATTTGTTCATACACAGAAAGAAGAACAAAATAAAAAAAAAAAGGAAATATAGTAACAAGGTACCTTATTAGGGGATTCAAGACTGATTTACATGGCCAAATGGACATCATTTTAGAAAGCAGTCTTTTATTACAGGGCAGGATTGTCATTGTCTTATTCTCATTTACTAGAGCGAGCTCAAGACATTCCCTCATGACCTGCCTAGATTATCCACATTGCCAGCCTCCTCCTCCAACTCCATAAACTGTTTGATAGCAGAAAGGAGCTAATCTCGAGGTAGTAAAGGACTAGATTAGGCTACTTTCTATTTGCTCAGAGAAGACACCGTATGTAAGTTTTGACTTTGACACAAAACTACTCCTCAGACAACTAGTGACTGAAAGTGCTCTGTATTTGCTTGCATTACAGTGGAGGTTTGATAGTTTACTTTAGCCCATTGTGACTGACCGTGCATGTTCTCTCTCAAAATTATTTTTATTTTATATAGGTTAAATCTGTACATTTCTTGAATTTCATAAGTTTCTTTGCCTATTCCCTATTTAGAATTGCTTGAATGTTTCTGTAAAGAATCTGAAGCAAGAACTTGCTAGAATTGAGTGTGATAGCATTAACTGGAGTTCCAAAGCTGATAAGTATGAGGAAGAACTGTCAAGGCATTTCCAACACTACACCACTCAAGAGGAGATAAATGAGGTAAATGAGATAAATCCCAATACATGACCGTTAAAAGGACTGTTGTGGTCTGTAGTACATGTTGCTGTTTACTGTCTCCTAGATGTTTATGGTATGTATACGGAAAAGTTGATTTTCATCTTACCTGCAACCTTAGATCCACACAGCAGCAGTAATGATCTGTGGTTCATACCTCTGCAGTTCAGGATTATATCAAGTTGTTGGGCTGGCTGTAAAGCACTTTCACCATACCAAGCGGACTGGAAATAGAGCAGCTGTATTTCCTTTGGCTTTCACCTCTTTCAGCTCCATCTGAAAAACATGAGTCTTCAGATTTCTTTCTAACGAAGCTAAAGTTTCAAACAAAAGTAGAATTTACATGTATTGCAGCTCTAAGACTATTAGGAAGAACTTTCAGTCTTTTAAAGAAAAGTTCAGAATAATTTAGTACATAAGATTTTTTTCCCCGAAACCAAAGATACGATACTTTAAAAACTGCTAGAAGTAGAGGAAATGTTCTTTGGGACAAGATATTAGGATTTAGTATTATGGAACTTAGATTAGGAAAAGTTGCATAGTTAATATGATTATTTATTTAGCATCTTAGTGGTCCAGATATGAATCCACTCAGAGCTTAGCAAGTTGAGTTGGGTAGGTGTCTCAGCAAAAATTAATTTAGGAAGAACATTCCATAGAATTGATTTTATCAGAATGGTCCATTAAAATAAGAGGCTGATGACCTCTACACTTGATGTTCGGTAGATTGTGCTTCTGTGCATCCATAAAGTACAGAAATTGGGTTGTTACCTGGGAGGATTTCACACTAATGTTCCCTGTAGTGTGAAACACAGATAGTGGAAACACAGGACACGGGAAATTATCTTATTTTATCTTTCACTAAGTAAATCTACACCGGAATAATAATAGGACTGTTTTTTCTCAAAATCACCAAAGTAGAGGTGACTGAGATTTCTGTCACATCTATTTTTAATGAGAAAAATTACTGTTTATTTTGTTTTACAGAATATTTTTGTGTGTTTGTGAAAAGTATCCATTTTCACAAAAAGTTATTTTTAAATTGAAAGCACATATGTATCAAAATCAGGTTTTTTCTCAGTTAAATTTCTAATTCCTTGCTCCTTGGCAGGAGGCAGTGGGGACAGTCGGTCATATAGGAGAAGCACACTGGCAGAGTGAATCATACCATAGAAGAGAATGAAAGCATAAAGCACCTAAACAAGAAGTCCCATTATACTTTGCAGTGACATGGCAGAATAAGAGTATTTGAAGTTTGAACTCAAGTATACTAGGTTTTTACTGAAAACGTTTTAAATTTGCCAAAGAAAATATAATGTTGCCTGAGCATCCTCTATATAAGGCTGGTCATATTCAAAGACACACTATTATATCAAATGCATCTTTCATTTCTCTCCTTTGATTCTGGGAGCATATGATGATAGCAGAAGAATGTGTCTCCTTTCTAAGAAGAATCATTTTTCTATATTTGTTAGTTGTTAGACTCCTAGTCAGAGCAGGAAGTAGAGGAAAAAAAGCAATCTTCTGTCTCTCTCAAACTTACATGAGTGTGACAGTGACACATTATTCACCACATGTCCTATATAGCAAAATATAACATTTTAGCTTTTCATAGTTATTTGACACCCTCTGCAAAATAATTGCCTGGTATATTTTCAATTACAGTCTTAATTATTGATTTTTTTTTTCATTTTAAGTTGGGAAAGTTAAGTTGCCTGATGAAGTTGAAATCTGTCATCCCCAAAGCTAATTGAATCATGAATGTAAACTAACTGAAATATATTGATTTGGTATATGGATACCTTTTTCTTTAGATTCCTTTTCTATTAGAAGTTAGCATAGAGGATATTTCAAAAACAACTACTTGGCTAATGTACCTGTATATGCATTAATCTACTGCCATTTTTCTTCATTTTTTTTTTTTTATTAAGTGTTTATAAATAGTTCTGTTTAGGGCTCAAGAAACCAAACACTGAACTACTTCAAGAATGTTGAAGTCATGAGTATTCACTTCAGTATTTTAAATTCTGTTAAACACCAGAAATTAGCCTGAGTATTTCTAATATCTAGTAGATCTGTCTGAAATAATTTCTTTACCATCTACTATGTCTAAGGAAATAAATATTTCATGTTCCAGCAGCGTGTAGCATCTGTTCACAGCTGTCACACTGTAGACAGCCAACCAGATCATTTAGTTGTGATTTACCAGTGTACAGAGCAAACTCTAAAGCTGGCTGAAAATATTTGGAATTCTGCTGCAAATACTTATATTAATTTGCATCTAATGCAGTGAATTTAAGTGTGTAAATAACGTATGTGAGTAAGGGCTTTGATGATTAGGACTTGGTGTTTGAAAACATACTTAGAGGACTTGGCTAGTTCCCTGTGTTTGTGACATATTAGCTCTTCTACAAGCCAAGGATGCATAGCATGAGTTTTGAAACATCTTGGAGGACAGAAGAGTAAAACATATGCCTTTTGTATGCCTTCTCTGATTTAAAGAGAATATGCAAGAGCTATAAAAGGGATCTATGTCCTCTCCATCTTTGACAGGTATAAGGAGAGGTCATACAATAATTGAGATGTCTATTTGCCAGTTTAGGCTTCCTGCTTCACTAGCTAGCTTGGGTAGTAGCCTCCAAAGAGCTGCAACTCCACTGCATTACACTGCAACCTTTTGTAACAGAGCTGAGTCAAGCCTCAGGTAACAGTAGCTTAATAGTACACTGAATCTGTTCTTTGGATTGTGAGGGACACAGTTACACACATAAGACAACTTCTGTAGTGAAAAAGTCTTTTCTGTAGGTGATCACTTTAAAATAAAAATAACATGCATGTCTGCACAAAACTTGCATTGCAACAGTGATAGATCCTGAAGTCGGTTCTCACCTCTATGCAGTCATTTGACTTCTTTCCTCTTCAGCATCTCATTATTTATACACCTCTGGAAAGGTATAACTAAAAATGTGGACTTGAACCATAGAGGGTAATGAGCCGTCTCTGTTCACAGGTCAGTAGGAACTGAGAATTCCTAGCACATTTCTCACCGTGTAATTTATTTCGATTGGCATTCCAGAGTGGTCCAGAAGTAATTGTTAATGGTTTGAACAGCACCTTTTCTTTTCTTCCATTTTTTTTGTTAACTGTTCTTCAATCTTTACCACTTTGAAAATCTATTTTCAGCAACCTGCTTTCATGGGCTTTATTTATTAGTAGTGCTACTGATAGTTTTATGTATGAGTAAAATGGGAAAGGTAAGTGGCTGACAACACTTAAGAACCACCTAGAGTGTCTCACACAGGAATCAAACCATTTTACTGGAACTGTACTGTTAACAAAAACATACTTAAAGCAGCTTTATAACTTGCTTTTTCCATTTATTTTGTAGTTGTGTGATAAATTGAAGTGACTGGTACCCAAAGATGTCTCCCACACTCCTCATTCTCCACCCATGACAGGCCAACTATAGCTAGGAACAGCTGCCTCATTAATGACTATGGCACAATGGACGAGTTACAAAGTTCCACTAAACTTGTGACCTGAAGTCACTGAAGTGTGTTTAGTTCCTTTAGCATTTCTCATTTAATTTTGTAGATAATAATGGAAAACCAAGATAAGGTTAGGTATCTAAAAACTGACAGCCATATATCATCCTTGGTACAATGGCTGATAACTGTAGTTGTGTATGTGGACTCTGGAGGGGTGATGTACAAGTCTGAGCTGAGTTTTTCCATTGAGGCTAAAAGAGAAGAGTGACAGCAGCTGCAGACCTTTGACACATGAGCCATCATATCTGAAACAAGGTGATCCAATTTCACATACTGCTATGAGAGCCACTGGCCTTATAAATGGTCTCTAGCCTATGTATGTGCATTAGCCAGTGAAATAAACTAAAATAAACTCTTGCTCATCTCTTCTTTTCCTCAAAAGTAAGCCAGCAAATAAGGCTTTTGTGTTCTGAATATAAAATACTGTTCTGCAGAGGTGGTTTTACTAACAAAGGGCTTTTAGATAGATTTTATTATTTTGTGTACTTAGGTAGGATAAAGAGCTTAAACTAATTGGACATCACAGTGCTGGTGATAGAATTCTCTTCCTTTCCATTACACTGAGTGAACACCATCTGTCTATTCACTGCTGAAATAATGTGGCAGCATCCCATTAGATGAAATTAAAATGAAAAATATATCCCTTGATGGATTAACATTAGTATGTAATAATAATAATAGTAATGGCTGATGGCTAGCTGTTCCAAAAAAAAAAAAAGGGCATTCATTACTCCCTGGATTTTTTGGCAGGGGGGCAGGAGCAAGTCTGTAGGACTTCTCTCTCTCTCTCTCTCTCTCTCTCTAACTCTCTCTCTGTATATAAAAAGCCTCTAATATGTTAAGTAAATATCAAATTATGATGTGACTTGAACTTTTTAACACTAATTAAGGAAGTTAAGTTCTTTTTGCTTGTGTGGAGGAAACAAAAGCATGATTAAACTAAATGCAGTATGGTAGGAGATAAGTACATATGAAAAAAAATACAAATCTACTTTCCAGGACCAGTAAAACTATCTTTTTCTGGAAACTAAACATGGGTATGCATGTACATGCCTACCCATTTCCACTAAATGCACTAGAGTATGTGAAGGACATAATCTTCTAGTTAAAACAAATGAAAGTGCTCAGATAAGATTATTTCATGGATTGTCTGAGCAAGGGTTACATCCTTCACCCCAATCCTTTTTTTACCCCAACCATTCTGGAAACAGTACTCAGCATCCAGAATGCAAAAATGTTGATTTAGCAAGATTATGAGTTTCCACTACTGGACTGGTATTCTGAGGAAATGAGGATGCTTTAGGAGATGGCATAGTAGTATTAATTTCTGCATTAAATTTTCAGTGTTCAGATTGTGGCGTGTTAAACAGGTCTTGAAAAAAACTAAACTGAAGTGTGTTAGTTTTTTTTCTTTGCTAACAAATATGCTTACTCTGTTTCAGCTCAGAGAATCGTTTAAGGATCTCAAGAAGAAATTCAACAATTTAAGGTTTAACTATATGAAGAAAAGTGAAAAAGCTCGAAATTTGAAAGTACTTAAAATACAGATTCAGCAAGTTGATACATATGCAGAGAAAATACAGGTAATAGTAATAGGTTTAGTCATAGTGAAGGTGTCGCCACTGGTTGGATTGTTGTGGTCTGAGCCAAGCAGATCAGAGGAGATGAACATGTATTGTGAGCTTCCCTGTTACTCAGCTTTATATCCTTGCCCTGTCTCAGTCACTAAGACATTTTTAATTGTTCTGTTCCTTTTATTCTTCCCTTTCCTTAAATGAAATTATCTCAGTTCCTGACTTCTCAACATTCACTTCTTTTATCCTCTACTATTTTCCTATATAACCTTGTATTCTTGCCTCTGTTCCTTCACAGTATGTGACCTAGTCTTCCCTCTCCTTAGAGAAAATAAAATAAAGCAAATACTCCCTCAAAATCAAGAATAAATGTTCACATAACCTAACTTGCATCTGTCTACTTTCTTGTCTTTCTCGTTTCATCATCTAAGTGTTCAGAACCTTTTTCTGCATCCATTGCCTGGAGCTGATCATGTTCATTACCACCTTAGAGCCCTGCTAGCCTCGCTCATTGTTTGCATACACCAGAAACTCTTCTTCCAAAGCCTCCAGTGACCTTTTTAGTTGCCAGTTAGAAGAAGCATGTTGTGTTTTGCTTGTCCTGCCAGTGTCTTCCTTCATTTTTTTTTTTTTTTACTTTATACGTTTAGTACCTTCTGTGACTATTTTTGCTATTTGTTTTGTTTTCATCAGCTATTCCTTTCACAACTTTTTTTTTTTTTCCCTCTCGATTTCTTGACAATTTCATCCACAAATGCAAATTCAAGTCACAGCATCACTGAGGTTGGAAGGAACATCTGGAGATCACGAGTCAGTTACAAAGGGTTGCTCTGTGTCATGTCCAGCTGAGTTTTGAGTATTTCCAGCAATGGAGACTCCACAGTCTCTGTGGGCAAGCTGTTTCACCCTCAGAGTAATAATGATGTTTAAAAAGTAAAGGGGTTTTAATTTTTTTTTTTTTTTCCTTAAACAGAATTCCTTGTATTTCAGTTTGGGTCCATTGCCTCTTGTCTTTTCACTGAGTACCACTGGAATGAGCCTGACTCTGTTTTGTTTACTTCCTCTCATCATGTTTTTATATGCATTAATAAGATTCACCTTTAGCCTTCCCTTCTCCAGGTTAAAAAATCCCATCTCTTTTCGTCCATGCTCAGTCATTCAGTCACCTTTGTGGCCCCTTGCAGAAATTTCTCCAGTATGTCCAGGAATTTCTTGTGCTGGGGAGCATGAAGTGAACGTAGAACTACACATGTAGCCTCCCTACTGCTATGTGGAAGGGAATCACCACTTCCTTTGACCTACTGGCAAGACTCTTCCTGCCAGTGTACATCCTTATTAGTGTACATGTAGAGAGTTCATAAAATACTTTCCTACTTTTTAAAAAAGTCTTCTTTTACAAATAAAAATCAAGGACCTGTCTTTTTGCATCACTTTGCAAAGCTGCTAACACAATGAAGTCTTGATCAACTGTCAAGACCATTGTTCCCAGGATATAAAATACATAAATGTATATATTTATACCATCTTATCCTAAAACTTAGAGGTCATGTTTTTATCAGACATCATAAAGTACTGGTATGAATACTTGTTCCACTTGGTCTTAGGGATTATGCTAGATTGTCACTGATATCACATCAACACTTAAACAACATGTTAATATTCTAGATCATAAATAATTGTGATGCTTAAATTGACTTGTATTTAGTCAAAGACCCCAAAGGCTAAGTAGTAATTTTTCATCTGCAGATTCAGTTGGAGTTATTTTCATCATAATCCCATGTTTTATTACTACAGATATTTCCTTGTTTTTAAGCTGAAAAATGTAACTCAATTCCACCTTTAATAAATGTAGTCTGCATCTGATTTTAATCAGCATTGTAGGCGTCTTCCAGTTTATCTTAATTTTTGAAAAAGGAGCTTGTAATTTTTGAAACACAGGACAACAAATTAGGTTTGTGTGGGTTTTCTTTTTTTTTTTTTCTTTCTTTTTTTAAACGAAAACCATTTTTGTTGTGATATTTAACATTGCTGCATCTTTTAAACAGATTCTTAAGAAGAAGATGGACAATTTAGAGAAGAAAGTCATTGGCTCTGTAGGAAATGAACTTAATGCTAAAGTTAGAGTCCCCTTGGGGTCAGTTAGTGACTTACAGAAACAGCTGAATGACTTCAGCAGAGTTGTGGAGGATTACAAGCAAAATCTGGATCTCATGGAGGATCTGCAACAGATGATGGAAGAGGTACTAGTAAACCTGAGATCCCCACTGTGTCTGTAAAAATGATACAGAACTGTGATAGATAAAAGTGCTTATATCTACTTCAGGTAAAATACGTGGCTTCCAATAGTAGTAGATTGGTAAAAATTTGTGTTTTCTTATATTTTTTTCTTTGTAACTTTGTGGAGAAAAAGGAGGCGGGGGTGGATGGGACAGGAAAAGGGGAAGAGGGGTGAGAAATATTAACCATGGCCATATTCTTGAAGTGCTATGCACACAACTGGGACCTCCACATCCATGTGACTTTCATAGTAATTCAGAATATCTATGATCACACTTCTGAGCTCATTTTCTCTAAGTAAATTCTGACACAAGACAGAAAGTGCCTTAAGGCCCTTCTTGATAGCTATCAAACCACAAGAGCCAGGTTATCACAATACCCACTTTGTTAGTCTACAGGAAGAGCTGGCTGTGTGGTATGTAATTCTGGAACTGAAATGTAAAATATCCAGTTCCCTAAAAACAACGTATAATTTTTTTTTTTAATAGACTTAATTGTTAATTATGTGTATATTTTTTGTGAACTGCAGTCTAAGTCTTTTTGGAGACTTCTCTATTTTAATGTGTCTGAGGACTGCCTCATGCATTGCCTTTGTTTAAATTAAAATAACTTTGTAACAGTATTGTCCTTCTTGCCACAAAGTGTTGGTGCATCTGCTGTGAGGTAATTACATTCCTTGTTATCATTGTTTATTTTTAGAAGTAACGCTGTTCTTATCTCCAAAGTGGTCTAAATGCATGACAAATTCCCTTAATGATGCATCACAATACCAAAGTTTTGTTTGAAACATGTTTTCCGTGTCCTGTGATCTAATCAATGTGTCATTTCATATATTATTAGCAAAGCAATATGTTACCATTTGTTGCACATTTAAATTCTTAAACTCTCTCCACATCCTTCCAGAGAAATATATTCTTTTGTGGAGCTAATAATTTCAGATTACCTTTTTTTTTTTTTTCTATTTAACAAATAGGCCCAGTCTTAAATATTGATTTTAATGGCAGTTAAAATTGGTGATTATTAGATGCTTGTTTTAGTGATGCAATACAGATGATAATGAGTGAACGTCAGACTCTGGCCTCCTCTTAGTATTGTTATACCAAAAATGCTTATTAAGCTTTATTTATGTTTTTTAAAGCCCGTTCTTGTCAGTAGAAAGATTCCCAGCAACACTAATGGTTGCTGAGAACAAAAAACCTGTTTGCTAGTACACTAAGTCTAAGCAACCTTGCTGTCCTTACAGAGTTATAGCTGTGGCTGTGATGTTTGTCCAATGACTCAAGGGATAGATGAGATGGAAAGAACTCAGAAGTAAAACATGTTTATAGAACTGTTAACTAATAACCTCACCGTACTTACAAGGACAGGATGTATTTAGTGTTTAAAGAAAATTTAACATCTATTAATATTTGAAGTAGCATTGGTAATGAACAAATGCTTTTGCAGGTTAAACTAAAATCAGAAAATTTAAGACCTACTGTATGTCACTGATTGTGGAAAGTCTAAGAATACTCCAGTTTGTTCTACAAAAGCTTGAATGCTGATAACAATTCATTATAATGTAGTGGTTTTATCCCTTAGTGTCAATTTTGGTTTGAAGATGTGAGTGCAACAGTTGTTCGAGTGGGCAACTATTCTGCGGAGTGTAAAACAAGAGAAGCAATAGAGACTCTCTACAAGCAATTCAATAAGTTTATTGAGCCTGCAGTGCCTCAACAAGAAGAAAAAATTCAGCAGATTGTAGACCTTGCTAAACAGTTATATGGTGAGGAGCTGATAGTGTACTGTGGGGGAAAAAATACAATAACTTAAGATGGGAGGAACAAGATTCTTAAATTTATTCATTTAAGAAGAAAATTCCATGGAGTTTAAAAACCAAATGTTGTTATACAGTATTGACTGGAAGAGGTGAAGGATTTTTGAAGAAATATTTTTAAAATATGAAATTACTCAACAGTCTGGTAGTTTCTTGCTATTTCTGTACAGCCTGACTTCACCTTGAAATCAAAGTGTGAATGTCCTTGTATTATTTATGAGCTTGGAATTGAGATTTCATGGCTTATGCTATTTCATAACAGGCAAGCTTTTGAAGTCAAACTATATTGCAGTGATATACCTCAGTGCTGAGTGATTCTTTTACATTATCACTGTGAATAACTAGTGGTGGTGGACTGCCAACTTTCTTAGGCATTTTATTAAGAAAAAAAAAGTAGATTGTTATGTAAATATCGTATTTGCAACTATATTGATTTGCAATATTGTTGACCAAAAATAATGGTCAACAAACTTCAGGTTTTGCTTTTTACCTCAGTCTTGTTGAAATTGGTGAAGTTATTTTATCCAAAGAGAAGGTGGCCATCCAAATGTGCAAGGATACTGTGTTAGTCTATTAATTTGAGTAGTAAATCTGAAAAAAATTCAAGAAATTGTGCTTTTAAATTCCTTTACTTTGTTGTTGAAAAGCCTACTTAGGGAGAACAGATTATTCTTCTTTCTCTCTCTCTCTTTCTCTCTCTCTCTCTTTTTTTTTTTTTTTTTTAAATCTTCTCAGTATTTTAAACATTCTGGTCTGTAGGAAAGGAGGTGGCAGAATGGATTCTTGACACCAACACTGGGAAAAAGAAGCTGTTTTGTGTTTAAGTTATTACACAGGAAAAAGCTTCTCCATCCTGCCTTTGTTTTGTATTTCTTTTAACAGGGATCTAAGTGCTTCCTAGCTGTATAATAAGGCAAGTAGTTTAGGAGACACTTTATGAGGTCAGCATCTTTTAAAGCAGTATCACTAACCAAATAGAAGTAATTTTGTTCAAGAAGCCAAACATGCAGCAACAGATGATCCATCTCAAGTAAGCTAGTAAGAGGTAGGAAAGCACATTGCTGTGAGTCACAGAACTCCTTGAGCAAAAGAAGACAGAAAAATTATGTTATTGTAGTCTATTTGGATTACAAAGCACATTGATGGTTACGTATCTATTTGAGGCATTCTGTTCAACTTTCATGTTGTTTAACCTTGTAGGTATTGAAGAAGGAAGGAAGTATGTTGAAAAAGCCATACTGAAGTACGAAGAAGTCATTAATTCTGTTGATGAGTTGTGTAGATCTCTGAGAGAACTTAAGAAGATTAAGGTATTTTTTTTTAATCTGGAGAATGTATTGCATCTACATCAATTTATCAGGCTTAGTGTCCGAATTAGTTCAAGTGAGGATCATGTATGGCAGTATGAAGCATTTCTTAATTTTTCACTTTTTCAATAATGATTGTAATGAATCAAAGAAAAGTTACTTGCTTGTGAAAAGTATTCCTCCTAGGTTGCTTTTTCTTGACTTCTTTCAGAACTGTTACTGCTTTCAAGTAACCTTTAGGGGAAAATGTCACAATTGCCTTGAGTATTTAGACAAATACTTATTTTTTTATTTCTTCTCGATACTGTAATATACATAACTATTAAATCTATAAAATGCTAAGCAACCTAACTTGGTTCCCTGTTGGAAAAATCATCCCAAAAAACCACGCTGTGTTAAAAACTAAGTAATTTAATTTGGAAAAGCATGGCTCATAACATAACTGTTAATGAGAACAATAACATTTTTACTTTCATATTCTGATAAGCTTCTATAAGTGTAATTAAGTGTAACATCTCAGCTGAGGAGAAATTTTGGAAGACAGCTGTGAGGGATAAATTTCTCTAATAAAAACTCTGTATATTCCAATCCCCACTCTAAAAGAATTACATCAAAAATCTCCCATAAGTTGTAATAGCTGATGGATTCATCCTTCTGTGAAGGTGGAAGAATTAAGATGCTTTAAATATGCTGCTTTTGTTAATGTTGAATGTTGTTTCGGGTTTAGTTTTGTTTTTTTTTTTTTAATGGAATTATACTATTAGAACTGATGAACACTCAAATTTTTTATTAATACACTTAAAAGCAATAGGAAATGCCAAAAATATAAATGAGTTCCAAAAGTCTTTAGGTGAATTGAAAGAAGGCTTTGCCTTACACTGTGACCACAAGGAAACTTCAATATAAATGCTAGTTATCTTCTTCAAAGTTCTTCTCCCAATCCATGTGTTACATAAATGCTATTGTACACAGAATAGTAACTCCAGGGTCTGTCAGAATAGGGCTTGAACCTTTGATCTTTTTGACTAACTCATCATAACACGTACCTTTTCAAGAGAAGTCGAATTTCAAACTAACTGTAATATTTTATTTTGAGTAATTTTACTAATTGCAAAGTTATCTTTAACAGAATTGTTTGGAGAATATTGTTTTTACACAGAACCACCCAAACCCTTTACTGATGGCTTTAACCTTAAATTTAGATAATTATTTTAAAAACTCAGTCAAAAGAAACATTATCAAAAAATGGTATTTTCTGCAAGAGATGGTAGTTGTGCAACTTCTAAATGAAGGTTGAGGGAGTGTTTTTTTTTATAATATGTAGTGAACTGAGATTTTAAAACTAGTATTCTTATTGAATATTTCCAGAATATCTCAACCGTCAATGTTTGTGTCTTATGACAAATAAATCATTCAGCAAATTTCACAAATAGGTGCCATGAGTATGGAATACCATCCAGTTTAACTTTCTGTCATTTTTAAAGCATAGCAAATTATGGGGAAATGTTGTATTGCACTATCTTTCCTTATTTTACATGGGTGTTGAATGTCAGAAGAGAACAACTCTTGGATTTTTCAAGTGAATATATTTAACAGATTATGCAGAATTTTTCACTTGTTTAGTGCTAGAATGGAAAATTAGTAATGCTGAATTTATTTAGGACTGTAACTTTTGGATGGACAGCTAAAGATGTGAAAGTCACAAAAGAGTAACTGTAAGACTTCTGAGTTTCCTTACGTTGTACTGCTGTGAATGTTCTTTGAAATCTGTAGATTTCTTTCATTACAGTTTTAAACAACTCATGAAGTCTTCATAAAATATAATATGTTTGTCCAGATTTCTGTTATGTAAGTATTTTGTAACCAGTTGTTAAGTCTTTCAGGCTTAAGCTGGAAATAAGTATTAGCCAAAAGGAAGAGTGAAATAGCTGATCTAAAGTGGAGTTAACTACATTGAGTGGTTGTGGACTGTCCAGGTGGGAGGCTGGATGAGGGAGGAAAACAAGAACAAATGCAAATTCTGTCTGGTTGTGTTTTATGCTTAGAAAGTATTCTCACCTTTCCAGCTTTTAGGCAAATCTTAACATTCTAGAGACTCACAAATGTTTCTTTGCTCCCTGAAACTGTTTTCCTGGAATCCTGAAAACTTTTTGGAATTGTTGTTTATCCTCTTTTTTTTTTTCCTAATAGTGTCACTTTCTTAGTCCTTTGTTATGCATTACTTACCTGGGGTACATATTCCTCAGATTCTTTACCAACCACTTGAGTTCTTCAGCCTTTGGTGTCCTAAACTTTCCTTGCTTCAGTTTTGAGAAATATTGGGTTTGCTTGTCCAGGAATGAATGAATCAGATTGTGCTGCATATTTTTGCCATAAGCAATTTATACGTGTGCTAATGACAACTTTCAGATAAGATGTTGCTTATTTTTTTCTATTCTGTTGTACAGAGCATGTCTGTGTGTAGCTAACAATTACTACCTTCTGTTGTGTATAAGCTTAATTAATTTTCTCTTCACATGACAGAAAGATGAGTTTTCTGAAGAGTTGGTTACTGTTCAAAAAGAAGAAAATGGTCAAGAAGCATGTGAGATTGTTATTAAAGACAAAGCAGAGGAACAAAAGGAGCAGGTTAGATTTTTACTTTATTTAACTAGAACTTTGCTTCCTAAAAGGCTTTGTATATGGCTAGAAAGTTTCTTACTTTTCAGTCTTGAAGCCTTCCTCAAGATGGATATTATCAGTGTAATCTTGGTAATTTCTCTATTTTTTTTAGTTAATCTTTTGCCTTCTAATCAATCAATGTATGCTTCCCCACGGATTTTACTTTTTTAGTTTTCTTTTTAGTTACCTGTATACCTAATTTTCTTTTCTAAAATTAATATTATTTTCATACTCTTTTACCAATTTTCCTTTGGTCCTGTAGCCACAGCATTCTTGATGCAGATGTCTTCCTTGTGACCATTCCTCCTTCCTCAAGGGAGAGCACAGTCTGCTATCTCCTTTATAATAAGGCTTAAGTAAACATAGGAAGTAATAGAAGAGACTGCTAATAGTATTTCCCAGAGACTTAGTATTTCTGTAACCCCTAGAGACAAGCCATGAAAGTATTTGATTTATAAGTAATATGCTATGAGAGAAGCCTTGTAGCTCAGAATTTGAACTAAGTAACAGTGGAAATTAGGATTCTTTGTTGAATCATTAACATCTTCATCGGGGGGGGGGGGAAAAGGTTTTCATTCAACATTTTTCTTTCAGATGGCATCAGATAAATCTCTTACAAATTTTGAAAGCATTACTGAGAAGAGAAACAATACTCTGTCTTCTACCAACACTAAACAGGTATCTACTGTTCATGTTTTGGTTTTTTTTTTAAGAATCAAATTGCTGGGCATTGTTGTGTACTCTCAAAGGAATTTTAGTCCTTAACTGATTGCCTGTGAAAAGTGATACATATTGTTACAGATTGGAGGACTTTGCTTGTCTTCTCATGTACAGTATTACAAAAATCCAGTGCAAAACAAGCACAGAATTGCTTCAGGTTTGCAACAGTCTGAATAACAGAAATGCAGTCATGGCAAAACCAAGACAGAACACAACTACTGCTGTCAGTAGTTCAGTATGACATAATATCACAGGTTTTCTATTCTACTCTTGGTACAGCATCACCTCACAGATAATTGGCTGTACTATTGGTACGACATAGCAAATAAGTAACAGAACGCCTCATCAAATAGTTGTCTTCACCATCACCTCAAAACACTTACATTTCAGTTGGCAAAATTCCATGCAGCAGAGATTACAAGTAGGTTACAAAGTATGGACTGTATGTTGAGGACAATGCACAAAAGGAAACTAGATAGTAAAACACTGGGTATGTATTTAGAATGACAAAAATCCTAGAAGACACGCATGATTTATTCATAAATGAACATGAAAAGTTCCAAAGTGACAATGAATAAATGTAGTCTTAGAAATACATGCACTACAAAACCAGACCTATGTTTTATGAATTTGATTCCTTTAGCTTACAGAACATTTTGAAGCCCTGCGATCCTGAACGTAAATATAAATAATTTACAATGTGAAATATTCTGGTAAATTGGAGTGGGTGGTAATATGTCTAAGTCTTTAGACAGGTAGGATACGTTTGTTAATTGATTTAGATCTCCAGAATTTCTGTTTTTCAAGATGATAGCATAGACCAATACTACAAGGCATCAAATCGTGATTTCTGTAGAAATTCACCTAAAATTAACATTCCCTTCAGTTCAATACAGAATGTCCCATAATTTGCTGCTGAGTCAAAATTGAGCCAAATTAATTTTGTTACTTCCATTCCAAGACAATGGGAGGTTCACCGTTGACTTGGAACCCCCATTTCACTTAAAATTTTGTGACTGTTCTGAAGAGCCCATAGCCCTGTTTAGTATTTTGCTAGGCCATAGCTTTCCAGTCCTGGTCAGCCTGTGTCGCAGCTGCCAAGGGGAGAAGGACAGGGTATGCGAAACAGGCGATATCAGATGTGAGGTATGTCAGCTATGATGCCTCCACCCTTTTCATCACTCCATACTTCACTTAAAGAAGTAGCAGGTTCTTCTCCCTACAGCTTTTCTGTCTGTCATGTCTATCCTTTCTGAGAAAAGACCTGGCCCATGCCCAGCTTCTTGTCTAATAGGCCAGAATTCTCTAATTCTGTCTGTACTTCTGCAAGCTGGTTTTGCAGTATTAATTTGCTTCAGTAGTAAATATTACCCTCTAAAAAGTGCCTGGGCCTTCTTGTGGCATGTTCATCCTCAAGGTTCTTTGATCCCAGGTGGCACATCAGGGCTGGAAGCCCTCATGTTGCCAAAGCCTGTCTGACAGCTTTCTCACTCACTGCCCACCTGTCATTCTTTTCCCCAGCATTTTCCCCAGGATCTTTTTCCAGCAATGGCTGAAATAACTCCCTTCAATTCTGTGTTCTCTTCATGAGGTGACCCTGAAACTGGCAAAACATTCCTGCACTAAGATCCTAGTTTAATCACTGGCAGATTCCAACATTGTTGTAGTTACCCAAGTGTGTGCCACTGTGTATGCATGTGCATAGACTCCTCAATAGATAAAGCTAATCTGGACCATTGATTTCATTCAAGCAGTAGAGAATGGCTATTCAGAAATTTTGACCTATCTTTTTTAAATATATCTGCTTAGAATTTAACATTCTAAGGAATGTTGCACTTCCTTGATCTTTAATCAGATTTAGTTTATTAAATTTGTTTGTGCAGTCAGACCAAAACAGCAAGAATTTGCTACTGAAGTTCCTATTAAAGCTTCATTTGAGAAAGACTTTCAAATGTGATCAGGCTTAAAACTGAGAGTTACTTAGAACCATGCTGATAGGATTTAAAAGAGCTGGATAACAGTCAAATTTGCAAGCCCTAGAAAAATATATTGTATGAGTGCATTTTAATTAACCTTTAAAAATAACATTTTCTTAGGAACAGTTTGCAATTAATTAGTGCACTGGTTAAAAAATAAAAAATTGGATATGTGCAGAAGGAACAAGTAGCTCAATATTTATTGTTTTCTGAGTAATTGGAAAATTTGACACATTTCACCAAATTGGAAAGTCAATTATAATTTATCAAGTTTATATCCAAAATATATTAATGACATATATTCATACTGAAAGACACTTTGGGGTTAGTGTTCATTAGGGGATGCTTGTGGAAAATGCAGTTAATACCAAAACTTGAACTTACAATTTAATTCAAGTATTTAGTAAAATAGAGTAAAATCCCAACTTTCTTTCCATCATTCTTTCATGAATCTGTCATGAATCATGTGGCTTTGAAATAGCAAATGTGTTAACTTGGAAAAACGTCCGCATTAAAACCACCATATCTATAGGACCAGGGCACATGTAATTGCTTCTTTTTTACTACACACTTTTTGTGCACTGATTATTAGGCTATATTTAGAGCAATAAAGCAAAAAGAAAGCTGAAAAAAATGTGCAACTGCACTTTCATACTGGATACTGCCAAAGAGACCTGATTGGAAAGCAATGACATCCAGTGTATCATACAGTTGATTTGAGTGAATAGTTTAGAGGTGATAGAAACATTGCTTAGTAGATTACATAGTTTTGTATAGAACTCAAATAATATGTTATTTTTAGACATTAACACCTTTGCTGAGAGCTGTGGCACAAATGAAAGAGGCCTGAATTGAATATGTGGTTAGGCATCTATATAAAAATCAAAAGGCAGCAAAATAATAAATCAAATAATGTCTTTGATACTTTGTGATTAAAATTAAGACAGTCATGCCACATCCATTTTTTTTTTCTGACATGTAATGAGAGGGATTTATAAAAAAAAAAATTCTGGATCCAAGATAATATAAAAAGAATTTTACCGTTGGTTATATTACTTAATATTTGAATGAGATCTTGAATGACCTAGCAAAAAATAAGGGAAATATAAAATGCTTGGAAAATATCTTAAAGATGTTGGTTTAATTCTGTAACTCTCCAAAATGACTGGTGATTCTCTTAGAGTTGCATTCCAGTAACTTAGCTGCTAATATATTTTTATTGCTATGTAACTGTTTCCCATTTAGATGTAATCAGGCCACCTGCTTCTCCACCTTCCCCTTGCAAATGCTCTTAGGAACAGCACCTACAGGAAATCCATAGGTTGTCCTTTGTAGAATGGGACACTTTTTCTTTTATTGTTGCTTTTTAAATAAATGCTTACATTTATTTTAATAATACCTGATAGAATCTATCCAAAGAATTTCAAGTTCCAATTAGCTGCTGCAAAATATTCTGATTAATTATCCTTCTCTACATAATTTCTTCTGCTTCTCAGAATGCATTAAACTTAATTAGAAGAAATATTTTGAATATTTCTGCTGGTTTCTGCATGAAAAGGCAATGCATAGAAAGATAACTCATTCTCTCGCTTTCATTTTCTTTTTTTCCCTTCTCTTCTTTCTCCTCCTAATTTAAGGGGAGGAATAAATTGGCTGATATTCCAATTATCTGTCCAGCGGGTGAGGATCTCGTTTCACAGGATACAGAGCTGTCATCTTCAGCCAAAGAGGATAGTTCACAGGCTGAATTCCTGGCAGAAGAAGTAGCCTCTGGAGATGAATATGAGTGTACATCACCTGATGATATCTCTTTGCCACCGCTTTCTGAGACACCAGAATCCAACCTCTTGCATTCTGAAACAGACCTAGAAGAGCAGTGCTGCTGTAGTTCTCATAGTCTGCATGTCAGTTCCTGTAGCTTGCAAATGCAGAAAAAAGCTGGTATTAAAAGAGTGATGGAAGCATCTGATCTTTTAACAAATTCTGCTTATGCTGATGCTACAAATAATAGAATGGAAAGTCCACCAGATCAGTTTGAGAAGTTTTGTATCTCTTCAGCAGAGTCTGGTCCAAAAGTCAGAGCAGTCTCTCATTTGACTTGTAGCTTACAAGGAACATGTGAAGCTAGCGCAGCTTCTTGCAGTATAAATGCCCAACCAGTATATAGCATGCTGAGTGAAGTGTGCAAAACACATTTGCAACACCTTGAACTTTGTAAAAGCATGGCAAAAACACAAGAACAATTGCATGGCTTGAATAACTGTATTAAAACCCAGGAGAGGCTGCATGCTTTGCCTGATGGATTCTCAGGTCTCGTGTTTCAATCAGATGCCACCAGAAGCTCTCAGAGGCAGATGGTCACCCGAGAAGAGATTAAAAGTTCATCAGAAAAGAACAGCATGGCCAGCCTAACTGGACAGGTGCCTAACTTCTCCCAGCTTCTGTCTAACAAAACCGTCATGGAAGGTTCTCCAGTAACTTTGGAAGTAGAAGTAACGGGATTCCCAGAGCCTACACTGACATGGTGGGTAGCTTATAATGAGAAGCAGTAAATATACCTATTAAGAAACCTAGACCCTTTATAACCAAATTAATTAATCTGTAAACTAGAATAAATGGTTTGTATCCTTTCTCTTCAACACTTGTGCATGATTCCCACCTTCAAAATTACTTTTGACTATTAACCTACTTGGAATAATCTCTCTGTAATTAATTTTATGAATAATGACAGCATCAAACTACTGCAAGCATACACAATCTTTTTTAAACAAATATGTCATATAGTATTTATATTCTGGAATATGACATTCCACTTGTTCAGTAATTTCCTAACAGAAATGCACACTCCAGACTTAGTCACCTGCATTTTCTCAGTATCTTGGTGCTATATATGGATGGAAAGACACATAAATGTACATGTACACTGTAATATATATATAGTCACTACATATACATAGACACAAATATATATGTATGTGAGAGTTACTTGTCAAAAACTGGACAGACTGCAGGTTAAAAAGATCTCCTAAATATCTGCACTAAGAGAAGCAGTTGTATACATTTATATCTCAATGTTTTTATTCTCTCTCTCTCTTTCAGTTGCTGTATCTCTGATTAGATTGCTTTATACTGCATTTGTGAAAAATACAGATAATGTAATATAAACATCTTTTAACATGACTTTTTAAAATTCACTGCCAAAGGAAATAGGGACTGAAAGAGAGGCAGGATTTCAAGATTTTGAAATAGTCCTCTATTTTTGGTAGTAGTCCTCTAAGTGTAGATATATTTTCCTAAAATATTACCTCATTTGCTATTTCTCCACTTATTCCATTAGACTTTCACAATGGAAGACTTTATTTTAATGTATTAAAATTAGATATATCTCTTACTGGAAACATTTTGTTGTTAAGTTTATTATTACACATATAAAGAATTAGGCAAACTATAACCTTTTAGTAAGCTGAATTTTATTCTATGACACTGAGGAAAATACTGGACACTGCAACCTTGCTGCTATGCTGTGTTGGTATCAATAAAGTTACAGTGTTTTAAATCTTGGTATTCTGTCCTTTGAGGGATATGATGGTGAAAAAAGGTACCTTCAATTTTATTTTATTGTAAGAAAGTATTAATTTAGCTCAAAACTACATACACTGTTGATACATGGTCTTGTAAAGCAAATAACATTCAACTGAAAACATTTCTCAAATTAGAAATTTATGAAAACAGAGAAAAAAAGGGAGAGCTTTGTGACTAAAAATTCACCAATACCATGCATTATGTACAGATGGAAACATTTTTTGGTTGTATGTTTTGGGTACATGTGGAAAAACACTTCTGTGTTTGTGTAAGGTTAAATGTAGCTTATATATTCAGTATTTCAGCTGTTATATTCAATACCAATTCACAGTGACAGATCCTCAGGTGTTAGAATACGACACCAGTTGTCAGAACTAACTCCTGATGCATTTTTTCGTCCTGTTAGATGATGTGAATGGAGTAAATATTAAGTGGGCTGGGGTCTTTGTCTGTTATTTTTATGGCAGACACGAGTTCAGAGAGTTAGTACATTACTTACACATCTTAAGAGCCTGTTAATGAGTTGAGTGTGGATTGACTCAACCCCTTATTAGCAAAAATGTTTCAGCACAAATCTGAGGCCTTTGTGCTGCTCTTTCCAATACTGCAGTGAGGTAACTATTGAAAACCATTTTCAGAACCACATTTTCCAGTACTAAGAATGTATTATCCAGCAATTTGAATTGTTTTAATATTCATCCATATTCACGACTAACTGTAAAGCTGAGGAGAGAGAGCACAGCAGTGAGCTCTGTCTCTTGTCAGGGTAGTGTTACAGAGGTTGTCTGAATTTGCAAAGCTCTGTTGTCATACAGTGATATATATCTGACTTCAAAACTGAATCTCTGCTTCAGGTACAAGAAGGGACAGAAATTGACTGCAGATGAGCACTTAAAGCTTTTGCAAAAGGAGACAAAGCATACTTTGTTCATTCAGAAGGTGTGTGATAAAGATGCTGGCCTCTATGTTGTTCGTGCTAAAAATTTGAACGGCACTATCTCCTCAAGTGCCATTCTCCACGTGACAGGTAACAGGCCACCTATTAAAAGAATAGACTGGATAATGGTGTGTGTTCTTTATATTAGTGTATCACTAATGTACTGGCTATTCACAAAATAAGTACAATGTTGACTGCACTGAACTTAATTCTCACATGCTAAGACAACATTAAATTTCTTTTCATAGGCTGCATCTTTCACAGTCTCTCTCAAACCACTTTTATGTCACACTCAATATATTGCTTGTTTCTTTAATACCAGTATTATGTGCTTACTCTTCTTTCTCATAATGATGTTGAGGAAAAAATTACAAAGTTTTTCTGGGCAGAGTTTTACTTTCTTACAAAATGGATAAAAGAAACCTTTTTAATTGTTATAGTTATTAAATGTCAAGATACACCTTGGTAGAGTGCTCAGATCAATTTATATTTTATTATATGCCTTTTTTTGGGAGGGTCTTGAAATGTTTTTTGAGCATTGAATGTATCATTTACAGCAACATACTTTAACAAATATATATTTGTAGGATAAAGCTTCTTAGTAAAGGAATCATACCATTCACGATTGCAGTGGCATAGGTCAGATTTAAATCTGTCTCAGCCTGGCAGATAATCTCCACAAATGAAAGCTGCAGTAGTTCCAGTTAGAGGTGAGATCATCTGCACTATAAAGATTTGACCCAGAATCATCAGAAGTTGTGTAAGTGGCACCTAGTATACAGTAGACCAAAATCCCAGATGTTTACAAAATGAGATGTTCCAACATACCAGTCTGCTTAGGTAGATGCATGTGATATTTTCTCTGCTTTCTTATAAAAGTAAGGATATAAATACTTCTAATAATACACTACAGTGTTAGTATCAGACAGGAAAGATAATAGTTTATAAAGTAAGGATTTGTGCATGTTTAAAAGTTTAACATGCTGAATTCAAACAGAATCAACCAAATTGGGCAAATACTCAAAAGTGTATTCACATTAAAAGAAAACAAAGCAAAACAAACAAACAAAACCCAACATTTTATTTCAATCAAATAGAATTCTCCTATAACTTCAAAGCTGTCCAAACCAGAACTTTGTTCATGTACATATTGTGTTTCATTCTTGACAAGCACAACCACAAGTATTTTTTATTGAAATAGTAATTTGTTAAAATATTTTATAACATTGATGTAACTGTGCCAGTGGAATATTTCATTTGCAAATCCTCAAATGTAACTTCATTCTTTAGCTCTAGTACTTGTATGTTTACAGTAAAAACAATTAACGAACTGCTACACGATTTTTCCTGCATCTTTGATTTGCAGTTTTCGTACTAAACTGTGAAGGTGTAGAGAGGAAATAAATAGATACTTTTTCTTACATAATTTGCTGAAATGAAGTAAATATTTTACTGTGTAGCATGATATGAGCAGAATATATATTGCAAATTGCCAGAGGTCAGTGTGATTGAAGACTGACATTTAGATGTTTTGGCCCAGTGACTGCAACTTTATTAAAATTCCTGTTACTTTGAAACAGGAGAAGTTCTCTAGGGAATACAACCTCACAGCAATATGAGAGGGAGCAGGAGAAGGAGGAGGTGGTGAGCAGATGGGGCAACAAAGTAAATTCTAACTAAATTTTGCATTACTTTTAATGAACAACTTTCTAAGTTCAGTCATCTCCCAAAAATTTTGGATCATAAGAATTTTCTCAGTTATAAAAATCATCAGTTTTCCTAAAGTGTACTTTCCATTTCATAATAAAGCTAATTTTAATAATGAGTATATTTCTGATTGTATAAATTTTTGTGGGTGTAAAATTCAGTTTAGTGGTTTTGTGCTCCTGTGACTTTATGTATGTTTTTTATAAATATACAGCAAAGTACCTACATGAGCAAGCTGACTTGCATAAATGGTACATTAAGCAATATTGTGGTAAGAACAAGACAAAATGCCTCTACTATGTATTGTAAGGTTTTGCCTGCTGCAGAGCTGCCAGCACTTGATAACTTTATCCTCTTTATAACTCTCCTTTTCTGTTTCAAAATTAGGCTTCTAGGTGACAGCTGCCCTTCAATCCTATTTTTGCTGTGAGTTGCCATCATACAAAAATTAAAAGTAATCATGGTTATCCTTTTGAGATATTCTAAGTAACTTTATATAATACTCGGGTCACTTTTTCAGGCATTTTTGTCTTTAGTATTGAAGCTAAATGTATGCACACACACACACACACAAAAAAAACTAGGCATGAAAGTGGATATGTTCTCTCTCCTCTTTTGCCTTGCCTCTACCAGAATTATGCCTTTAAATTAATAATTAAGCATCGTAAGGCTTGTGACAGAAAGACTCATTGTAGTTCTACAGAGATGCCAGGCTCAAAGCTGCATCTCTTTTAAGTTGTGGATTGTCATCTACAGATGATCGTCTGCCACAGGAAGGTCAGTGCTAGAATGCTCATTGTTCTGTCTTTTTTCTACGGCCAGTGTGTGAGTTCAGAGATGTGCATTTGACCTTTTTGGTTGGAGGAGAGCCATTTGCTGAGCAAAAGAACACGGTGAGGTGTGTCCCTGTCCTTCAGGAAGCAAGTCTGGTGCTAGAATTCCAGCTCTGCTTGGAAAAAAATTGTCCCAGACTCACTTGGAGTTCTATCAAAGCAGGAGAAAATATGAGCTTTTTGTCATGTCGTGGAGCAAGAATTGGAGATAGCTTGGATCTAGGCTTGTAGTTGGATCTGATTGTTTGCTGGCAGTTAGAGAAAGATCACTCACTATTTATGATACTCAGCTCTACAAATTAAAAAGGCAACAGACAGACACAAACCTACCGGAGGAGTGTACACAGATTATGGGAACAAAATCTTTCCCCTCCCTTGTAACACTTTGTGACGTACATCCAGGCTCCTAGGGTGTTACAAGGGAGCAGGTGTGTAGACTTTCTACCTCATACATAGTTGCATTAAATCTATTTCTGTTAACTCTATTCAACAGGTTCTAGAACAAGTGGCAGAGATCTCTGTTATTTGCATTACCTGAGAAATGACAGCCAGAATACAAGGCTAGTTTACAAAATAGTGTGAGTTCAAGAGAGGCAGCTTTGAATCCAAGTGGGATATATTCCAATTTTTTATGAGTATTATTTAGAACCTATCCAGTGATGTAGCCTTTAATTGGTGTTTGTCTTACACTCCCAGTTCCAAATATAACAGGGAGGACTGTAATTTTTTTTTCTCTAAAAAGTGAGAAGTTAAAGAGAAGCCTCAGAGCGAGAGTAAATTTTATTCCAGAATTTACAAATCTGTGCTGCATATGCCTACGAACAAGTATATTCTGCCTTTTGTAAAATTCTGAGAATGTATCATGCTGCATGTCTAATCAAGTATACTTCTGTTTTGCTCTGTTAGCAGAAAAACATTTAAAATCAATAAAATACTGATTTTTTTTCTCATCTGGATTATGGTTTAAACAGTTTATTAAATGATCCTTGTTACTGAAGTTTATCTTTTCCCTATATATTTTTCTCTTTTTTTATCATATGTTCAAAGTTCCATTGGTAGTTCATGTACTGAATAAGACATAAAAGTAGTTTATGTTGATGGACTTTTTCAAGGTGTTGATATTTGAGACTTGCTTTGGGATTATATGTTCCAGGAAGGATTTCCAGATGAGGAAGGTGTATTGACATGATGCCCCTGTAACTGTTTACTGATATGATGTGCTGTTGAAACAGCACCCGTGCTCAGTTTTATTGGCTGGAGAAGGACATTTGATGCCACTTCTATCTAGACAGCCACTAAAGCAAAGCTGCTCTCAGCCCACAAAACTACCAAAGCAGGATGGTAGTGGAATGCTACATTTCATGAGCTTAACACTCCTTTTCCAGCTTGAACCATAAATTCCTGTTGTAACTGACAAATTAGGTAGCCCAGATTTCAACAAAACCTCACAGAAAAAGAAAAAAAAGGTATCAAGGGTCATCTTGTCTTCAGCTATGGCAAGACAAAACAAAATTATTCCATTTGGGAGGGGTAGATTAACGTAGTGCTCTTTGCACATCTTCATTCAAATTTTATGGATCTGAAGCTTATATGGAAGATCCCAATAGATCACCTGTCAGCCAGGGAAGCCAGTAGCCTTTCTAGGGAAAGGGAGCCTCAATTTTGCTATTCAATTCAGAAGCAGCTGAAGTGGCTTGCGATCTGCTCCTGTGCCAAGGCATCCACTTTCATTTTCACTCAAACATGTTATCTGTGAAAAGTAAGCTTCCTGCTACTGGATTAAATCTTGGAGTTGAGTTCCTGTTGAAATGTTAAGTAAGAACTTTCATGTTTAACTTGTGAGAAGAAAGTAAGACACAAATGAATCCAACTATTAAAACTTAAGGAGCTTATTATTTTGAAGAGTACATACAAGTGTGATATTCATGCTACTGCTATATAACAGACACAGTAAAACAGTAAAATGTCAAAAAACCACCTTGTCACTTCTGAGAATGTTGTAATTTTTGCATATTCAGATCTTATAATTATTAAATGCAAAAAGATATAAGGCCAGAAATTGCCTTAACACATCTGCAGATCTTAACAAATCATTGTAGAAGTCCGTAATTTATTTGTTCATTAAGTCTTTCCTGTGAGAGTTTGAACATTTCTGTGAATTTTAGATTGACAAAACTGGATTTTGTGAGTATGGTATTGCATCTACTTTAAATGTGGAGTGGTTTTAAAGGCAGTTTTTAAATAGATATGTGGATACCAGCTGCATTTTTAACTGCTGCAAGAAACAAGATTTTAAAAAGAGAGAGAGACTAGAAATACCAGATACACAGCAGGACACTCCAAGTCTCCTGGTTTTAATGCTTTGTTTTGTAAACAAACACATAATGCTGATTATTGCTGTGCTGACAGTCTGCGTTTAAATACTCTTTATTTAAGGATCCTAATGAATGCCCAAAATGTTTTGCTGGAAAATTTCTGGTGTCTTCTGTTCAGATAATCTTTGAAGAAAAAAAAAAATAGTGATAGTGATGTAGTCTCCTGATACAATAATACTTCTCTGAAAGAAAACCACAGTCACTCTGTTTCAGCAAAAATTTCAATGTGATGTTTACACCCCCTCCCTTTTTAAAATTTTTTTTTAT